AAACTATGAAGAGGCTAATACTATAAACATAAGTACCATGTGCACACACATGGTTTTATCAGTATTAGTGAAATGAAAAACACAGATGTGTAGCCTGCTTTAATAATGACAGAACTAATGTTCCCTTTGTGTCCAGAGGAGGGCGCTGCAGGACTGAGTTTAAACCTGTATCCTCTCTGCAGACACACACCTGTATGTTTACACCTGTATGTGTACACCTGTGTAACTACACCTGTATGATTACACCTGCATGAAAACACCTGTATGATTACACCTGTATGTGTACACCTGTATAACTACACCTGTATGATTTCACCTGTATGTTTACACCTGTATGATTAATCTGTATGATTACACCTGTATGATTACACCTGTATGATTTCACCTGTATGTTTACACCTGTATAACTACACCTGTATGATTAATCTGTATGATTACACCTGTATGATTACACCTGTATGATTGCACCTGTATGATTGCACCTGTGTGTTTAGACCAGTTGGGCCTCTTCCCGGTGGGACGTGCCCGGAACACCTTCTCAGGGAGGCGTCCAGGAAGCATCCGTAACAGAGGCCCGAGCCACATGAAGCTGAGATGGGGGAGTACTCCTTAAAGCAGCCGTCGTTCTCTGCATCTGTTTCTCAAACACGGAGCGTGAGTAAAATTAATCATATAGTTACGAGAGACCTGTAGAAAATATGTCATTACCCATCTCACCCTGTAGAAAATATGTCATTACCCATCTCACCCTGTAGAAAATATGTCATTACCCATCCCACCCTGTAGAAAATATGTCATTACCCATCCCACCCTGTAGAAAATATGTCATTACCCATCCCACCCTGTAGAAAATATGTCATTACCCATCCCACCCTGTAGAAAATATGTCATTACCCATCCCACCCTGTAGAAAATATGTCATTACCCATCCCACCCTGTAGAAAATATGTCATTACCCATCCCACCCTGTAGAAAATATGTCATTACCCATCCCACCCTGTGGAAAATATGTCATTACCCATCCCACCCTGTGGAAAATATGTCATTACCCATCCCACCCTGTAGAAAATATGTCATTACCCATCCCACCCTGTAGAAAATATGTCATTACCCATCCCACCCTGTAGAAAATATGTCATTACCCATCCCACCCTGTAGAAAATATGTCATTACCCATCTCACCCTGTAGAAAATATGTCATTACCCATCCCACCCTGTAGAAAATATGTCATTACCCATCCCACCCTGTAGAAAATATGTCATTACCCATCCCACCCTGTGGAAAATATGTCATTACCCATCCCACCCTGTGGAAAATATGTCATTACCCATCCCACCCTGTAGAAAATATGTCATTACCCATCCCACCCTGTAGAAAATATGTCATTACCCATCCCACCCTGTAGAAAATATGTCATTACCCATCCCACCCTGTAGAAAATATGTCATTACCCATCTCACCCTGTAGAAAATATGTCATTACCCATCCCACCCTGTAGAAAATATGTCATTACCCATTCCACCCTGTAGAAAATATGTCATTACCCATCCCACCCTGTGGAAAATATGTCATTACCCATCTCACCCTGTAGAAAATATGTCATTACCCATCCCACCCTGTGGAAAATATGTCATTACCCATCCCACCCTGTGGAAAATATGTCATTACCCATCTCACCCTGTAGAAAATATGTCATTACCCATCTCACCCTGTAGAAAATATGTCATTACCCATCCCACCCTGTGGAAAATATGTCATTACCCATCCCACCCTGTAGAAAATATGTCATTACCCATCTCACCCTGTAGAAAATATGTCATTACCCATCTCACCCTGTAGAAAATATGTCATTACCCATCCCACCCTGTGGAAAATATGTCATTACCCATCTCACCCTGTGGAAAATATGTCATTACCCATCCCACCCTGTGGAAAATATGTCATTACCCATCTCACCCTGTAGAAAAGAGAGTGTTTTTCTTTTGTAGGACTCTTTCGCTGCTGGTCTGCGGAGCTCTGTAGAGCGCGGCTCCCTTTCTTCTGTTACGGAGACGCTTCGACGCTGAGGAGGAGCCGTATGGACCCTCAACCCTAGCGCTCTCTCCCTCAACCCGAGAGCTCTCTCCCTCAACCCAATAGCTCTCTCCCTCAACCCAATAGCTCTCTCCCTCAACCCAATAGCTCTCTCCCTCAACCCAATAGCTCTCTCCCTCAACCCGAGAGCTCTCTGCCTCAACCCAATAGCTCTCTCCCTCAACCCAATAGCTCTCTCCCTCTACTGTTGGCGCAGCGCTGTTAAAGAGTGAAATACCGGAGTGACAGAGGAATAACTTGAAGCAGAGACACAGGTTCAGTTTGGCTTCACACGTTTACACAGGTGTGTGAGCTCACACAGGTGTATGAGCTCACACTCATACAGGTGTATGAGCTCACACAGGTGTAAGAGCTCACACAGGTGTATGAGCTCACACAGGTGTGTAAGCTCACACAGGTGTAAGAGCTCACACAGGTGTAAGAGCTCACACAGGTGTAAGAGCTCACACAGGTGTATGAGCTCACACAGGTGTAAGAGCTCACACAGGTGTATGAGCTCACACTGGTGTATGAGCTCACACAGGTGTAAGAGCTCACACAGGTGTAAGAGCTCACACAGGTGTATGAGCTCACACAGGTGTATGAGCTCACACAGGTGTAAGAGCTCACACAGGTGTATGAGCTCACACTGGTGTATGAGCTCACACAGGTGTAAGAGCTCACACAGGTGTAAGAGCTCACACAGGTGTAAGAGCTCACACAGGTGTAAGAGCTCACACAGGTGTATGAGCTCACACAGGTGTATGAGCTCACACAGGTGTGTAAGCTCACACAGGTGTAAGAGCTCACACAGGTGTAAGAGCTCACACAGGTGTAAGAGCTCACACACGTATAAGAGCTCACACAGGTGTATGAGCTCACACAGGTGTAAGAGCTCACACAGGTGTATGAGCTCACACAGGTGTATGAGCTCACACAGGTGTAAGAGCTCACACAGGTGTAAGAGCTCACACAGGTGTAAGAGCTCACACAGGTGTATGAGCAGAGAGCATTTCTTTAGCCACGCCCACACAGAAAGTAGGTCACTGGGTCAATGGACGACATACTTTCAACAAAAACAAACAGACACAGTGAGGCACATAAAAAACTCTTCAAAACATGATTCAGAAACTCCAAAAGCACTTCATATGTATTCCATCCATGCATCCATTTTCTTCCCCTTTGTCCATTTCTGGGTGGGGGTGGCAGTCAGATACCACTCAGTTCACAGAGAACCTGCCCCAGATCACGAATGCATTCATGATTATACATTTATATTTTCACTGCAGCACGTCCTGGAGAGAATCTTTAAATCTGGGGAACAAATGAATATAAACAACTACAGACCAATAAGCATTCTCCTGATGATATCAAAAGTATTGGAAAAATGTATCTCAGAGCAAATCATCTCTCATTTGAATTATTCACCATTTAAGTTGCATCCTATGCAATTTGGATTTCGTAAATTTCATTCTACCGATACTGCAAACATTTATCTTATAGAGAATATCAAAGCAAAATTGGACAGAGGGGGCATAGTTGGGGCTATCTACCTCGACTTCAGAAAAGCCTTCGATACTGTCAACTCAGACATATTAATTTCCAAATTATCTAAATTTAATTTTTCACCAAAGGTTCTCCAATGGGTGGAATCATACCTAAAAGACAGAAAACAGTGTGTCAGGGTGAACAATAAAACATCTGAGGTCAAATATAATCATATAGGTGTGCCCCAGGGCTCAACCCTTGGCCCTTTACTATTTAGTTTATTAATGATCTACCTGATGTGTGTTCAGAAGCATCATGTCAGTTATATGCCGACGACACCATAATTTATGTTCAAGCTAAAACGAAGCAACTGGCAGCAGAGAAGCTGACATCTGCAATGGTGTCAGTCTGTGATTGGTTAAAAAATTCAAAACTTCACCTGAACACAAGTAAAACTATGTGCATGTTCTTTTCTAAGTCGGCAACCAAAGAGAGTGATCCCAGAGTTATGGTGGATGGGTACAAGTATTTAGGCATCACCATGGATTCTCAATTATCATTTAAAAAACATGTTAAGAAATTGAGGAACAAAATTCAATTCATAGTGAATTTTAAACACATTAGAAATAACTTAACAACTGAGGCTTCAAAGCTGTATCATATTAATGACTGTGTGACGAGTTGGTCTCAGGCCAATAAGACCACATTGTTGCCCATAGAAAGACTGTATAAGCAGACAGTAAAAAAACATCATTTTTTGAAGTGGGAAAATTTGATAATGTATTCAGACGTAATTATGGTCTATAAAATTCTAAATGGGCTTGCCCCCCCCCCATTGCAGGAGTTCCTACAGCTGAATGTAAACTCAAATACGCGATCATCAAGCAGAGGAGATTGTAAAATCCCATTCAGAAAGACTTTATTTGGACAATCTGCCTTCTCAGTTCGTGCAGCACATTCCTGGAACTCGATCCCAACAGAACTGAGGAACCTGACCTCAATCCACACTTTTAAAAACTCTCTCAAGAAGTGGCTTGTGGACAATCAAAAATGCGAACATATGGTTTAAAGTCACAACCATTGATACTTTGCTGTATGGAAAACTGTGGTGTCTTGTGTATTGTCCCTCTGATCTTTTATCTGTGCTAATGTATCTATTTTACATATTTTACCAAATGTTACATACCCCGTTTTGTTATGTCTCTGTGATGGTGTGTGTCTGTGTGTAGGTTTGTATGTGTGTGTCTGTGTGTGTCTGTTGTATGCTTTATCTGTCTTAATATCAACCTGCCATGGGACTACGGATGAAAATTAGCCTACATGGCTAACTCTGACACATTTACATGTTAAAAACACATGTTGATAAATGTGCACTGTCCCAATTCAAATAAAGATTACAACAACAACAAAAAAATGATGCACCACGTGATGACTCTGCATGATCCTCCAGGTGCTCCGGTTTCCCCTACCAACGCATGGGAATTATCCCAGGCTACAATCTGGAGTGTCCCAACCTGATGAACGATGAATGAAATGAAATGACAAATTATTTCTCTGCATATACTTTATTTAATCAGCCTAGAATTTAGGATTTATGTCCCAAAACTATAAGGACCGACCTGAAAACACAGGTTCAAGAAAGCAACGTATGCCTCCTCAATAATGGTCTCTGGTGCTGGTCCTCTGGTGCTGGTCCTCTGGTGCTGGTCCCTCTGGTGCTGGTCCCTCTGGTGCTAGTCCTCTGGGTTGGGCCTCTGGTGCTGGTCCTCTGGGGGTGGGCCTCTGGGGTGGGCCTCTGGTGCTGGTCCTCTGGTGCTGGTCCTCTGGGGTGGGCCTCTGGTGCTGGTCCTCTGGTGCTGGTCCTCTGGTGCTGGTCCACTGGTGCTGGTCCTCTGGTGCTGGTCCTCTGGGTTGGGCCTCTGGGGTGGGCCTCTGGTGCTGGTCCTCTGGTGCTGGTCCTCTGGTGCTGGTCCTCTGGGGTGGGCCTCTGGGGTGGGCCTCTATGGTGGGCCTCTGGGGTGGGCCTCTGGGGTGGGCCTCTGGGTTGGGCCTCTGGGTTGGGCCTCTGGGGTGGGCCTCTGGGTTGGGCCTCTGGGGTGGGCCTCTATGGTGGGCCTCTATGGTGGGCCTCTGGGGTGGGCCTCTGGGGTGGGCCTCTATGGTGGGCCTCTGGGTTGGGCCTCTGGGGTGGGCCTCTGGGTTGGGCCTCTATGGTGGGCCTCTGGGGTGGGCCTCTATGGTGGGCCTCTGGGGTGGGCCTCTGGGTTGGGCCTCTGGGGTGGGCCTCTATGGTGGGCCTCTGGGGTGGGCCTCTGGGTTGGGCCTCTGGGTTGGGCCTCTGGGGTGGGCCTCTATGGTGGGCCTCTGGGGTGGGCCTCTGGGGTGGGCCTCTGGGTTGGGCCTCTGGGTTGGGCCTCTGGGTTGGGCCTCTGGGTTGGGCCTCTGGGGTGGGCCTCTATGGTGGGCCTCTGGGGTGGGCCTCTGGGGTGGGCCTCTATGGTGGGCCTCTGGGGTGGGCCTCTGGGGTGGGCCTCTGGGGTGGGCCTCTATGGTGGGCCTCTATGGTGGGCCTCTGGGGTGGGCCTCTGGGGTGGGCCTCTATGGTGGGCCTCTGGGTTGGGCCTCTGGGGTGGGCCTCTGGGTTGGGCCTCTATGGTGGGCCTCTGGTGTGGGCCTCTGGGTTGGGCCTCCTTAGAAGATGACCCAACCGTGTCCTTGACCACTGTCTCTTGAGCCCTCAGAGTCAAGTCTTCCAAAGGACTTATCGGGCCGTTTTCATCTGCGGCTCCAACAGTCTCTTCAGAGTTTGTGCTGTAGTTGTCTTCAGACTGATCAAGGACCTTGAAAACTGTTACCTCCCTGTTTTCAGTCAGTGCGACTTCTGGTAACTCTTCCAGGTCCCTCAGAAGTGCAACACCATCAAAGGAAGTGTCTTCGCAGGTTTCTAGATAAACAAACTCTTCTGGAAGTGTCTGAACCTCATCCTCAATGTTATCTAAGAAAACCTCTGCTGCTTCGTCTTGGGCAGCAGCAGCAGACAAAACAGATGTGTCGTCTGTCGGAGACTACTGAGAGGACCACTGAGAGGACCAGAGAGAGGACCACTGAGAGGACCACAGAGAGGACCACTGAGAGGACCACTGAGAGGACCACAGAGAGGACCACAGAGAGGACCACTGAGAGGACCACTGAGAGGACCACAGAGAGGACCACTGAGAGGACCACTGAGAGGACCACAGAGAGGACCACTGAGAGGACCACTGAGAGGACCACAGAGAGGACCACTGAGAGGACCACTGAGAGGACCACTGAGAGGACCACAGAGAGGACCACTGAGAGGACCACTGAGAGGACCACAGAGAGAGGACCACTGAGAGGACCACTGAGAGGACCACTGAGAGGACCACTGAGAGGACAACAGAGAGGACCACAGAGAGAGGACCACTGAGAGGACCACTGAGAGGACCAGAGAGAGGACCACTGAGAGGACCACAGAGAGGACCACTGAGAGGACCACAGAGAGGACCACTGAGAGGACCACTGAGAGGACCAGAGAGAGGACCACTGAGAGGACCACAGAGAGGACCACTGAGAGGACCACAGAGAGGACCACTGAGAGGACCACTGAGAGGACCACAGAGAGGACCACTGAGAGGACCACTGAGAGGACCACAGAGAGGACCACTGAGAGGACCACTGAGAGGACCACTGAGAGGACCACAGAGAGGACCACTGAGAGGACCACTGAGAGGACCACTGAGAGAGGACCACTGAGAGGACCACTGAGAGGACCACTGAGAGGACCACTGAGAGGACAACAGAGAGGACCACAGAGAGAGGACCACTGAGAGGACCACTGAGAGGACCACTGAGAGGACCACTGAGAGGACCACAGAGAGGACCACAGAGAGAGGACCACTGAGAGGACCACTGAGAGGACCACTGAGAGGACCACTGAGAGGACCAGAGAGAGGACCACTGAGAGGACCACAGAGAGGACCACTGAGAGGACCACTGAGAGGACCACTGATAGGACCACTGAGAGTACCACTGAGAGGACCAGAGAGAGGACCACTGAGAGGACCACAGAGAGAGGACCACTGAGAGGACCACTGAGAGGACCAGAGAGAGGACCACTGAGAGGACCACAGAGAGGACCACTGAGAGGACCACAGAGAGGACCACTGAGAGGACCACTGAGAGGACCACTGAGAGGACCACAGAGAGGACCACTGAGAGGACCACTGAGAGGACCACTGAGAGGACCACTGAGAGGACCAGAGAGAGGACCACAGAGAGGACCACTGAGAGGACCACAGAGAGGACCACAGAGAGGACCACAGAGAGGACCACTGAGAGGACCACTGAGAGGACCACTGAGAGGACCACTGAGAGGACCACTGAGAGGACCAGAGAGAGGACCACAGAGAGGACCACAGAGAGAGGACCACTGAGAGGACCACTGAGAGGACCACTGAGAGGACCACTGAGAGGACCAGAGAGAGGACCACAGAGAGGACCACTGAGAGGACCACTGAGAGGACCACTGAGAGGACCACTGAGAGGACCACTGAGAGGACCAGAGAGAGGACCACAGAGAGGACCACTGAGAGGACCAGAGAAAGGACCACTGAGAGGACCACTGAGAGGACCACAGAGAGGACCACAGAGAGGACCACTGAGAGGACCACTGAGAGGACCAGAGAGAGGACCACTCTGAGAGGACCACAGAGAGGACCACTGAGAGGACCACAGAGAGGACCACTGAGAGGACCACTGAGAGGACCACTGAGAGGACCACAGAGAGGACCACTGAGAGGACCACTGAGAGGACCACTGAGAGGACCACTGAGAGGACCAGAGAGAGGACCACAGAGAGGACCACTGAGAGGACCACAGAGAGGACCACAGAGAGGACCACAGAGAGGACCACTGAGAGGACCACTGAGAGGACCACTGAGAGGACCACAGAGAGGACCACTGAGAGGACCACTGAGAGGACCACTGAGAGGACCAGAGAGAGGACCACAGAGAGGACCACAGAGAGAGGACCACTGAGAGGACCACTGAGAGGACCACTGAGAGGACCACTGAGAGGACCAGAGAGAGGACCACAGAGAGGACCACTGAGAGGACCACTGAGAGGACCACTGAGAGGACCACTGAGAGGACCACTGAGAGGACCAGAGAGAGGACCACAGAGAGGACCACAGAGAGGACCACTGAGAGGACCACAGAGAGGACCACAGAGAGGACCACTGAGAGGACCAGAGAGAGGACCACAGAGAGGACCACAGAGAGGACCACTGAGAGGACCACAGAGAGGACCACAGAGAGGACCACTGAGAGGACCGAGGGAGAGGAAGATTCCTGTAAAAGTTCCACTCCTACCAGGATCTCCTGCGGTGGAAACGTGGCTAATGAGGGCCACAATTGGCCCACGGGCCTGAGTTTGGACATGTGTGATCTAATCCAGGGGTCGGCAAACCTGTCTGGAGCCGCTTGTATAACACAGGCTGTATCTGTTTAAGCGATAGAATCAGAACCAATGTACTGCCATTTGCAGAATACACTAAACTGGAAAACTGTTGGCGCCGTTGAGAGCTCACACAGGTGTATGAGCTCACACAGGTGTAAGAGCTCACACAGGTGTATGAGCTCACACAGGTGTAAGAGCTCACACAGGTGTAAGAGCTCACACAGGTGTAAGAGCTCACACAGGTGTAAGAGCTCACACAGGTGTAAGAGCTCACACAGGTGTAAGAGCTCACACAGGTGTAAGAGCTCACACAGGTGTATGACCCTCGAGCTCTGGTCTTTCTCTGGTCTCTCTCTCTGGTCTCTCTCTGGTCTTTCTCTGGTCTCTCTCTGGTCTCTCTCTGGTCTTTCTCTGGTCTCTCTCTGGTCTCTCTCTCTGGTCTCTCTCTGGTCTCTCTCTCTGGTCTCTCTCTGGTCTCTCTCTGTTCTCTCTCTGGTCTCTCTCTGGGCCCTCTCTGGTCTCTCTCTGGTCTCTCTCTGGTCTCTCTCTGGTCTCTCTCTGGTCTCTCTCTGGTCTCTCTCTTGTCTCTCTCTGGTCTCTCTCTGGTCTCTCTCTGGTCTCTCTCTGGTCTCTCTCTGGTCTCTCTCTGGTCTCTCTCTTGTCTCTCTCTGGTCTCTCTCTGGTCTCTCTCTGGTCTCTCTCTGGTCTCTCTCTGGTCTCTCTGGTCTCTCTCTGGTCTCTCTCTGGTCTCTCTCTGGTCTCTCTCTTGTCTCTCTCTGGTCTCTCTCTGGTCTCTCTCTGGTCTCTCTCTTGTCTCTCTCTGGTCTCTCTCTCTGGTCTCTCTCTGGTCTCTCTCTGGTCTCTCTCTGGTCTCTCTCTGGTCTCTCTCTGGTCTCTCTCTGGTCTCTCTCTCGTCTCTCTCTGGTCTCTCTCTGGTCTCTCTCTCCATTTCACATATTTATGTTTACAGCACTAATAAAAAGAGTGAGTAGAACCTGTTGGGCTGCATTCAGGGGGCGGGGCCAATGATACAGGGCGGTGCCACAGATACGGGGGCGGGGACACTGACATGGGGGCGGGGCCAAAGACATGGGGGCGGGGTCAACGACATTAAACCAGAGAGACACGAGATCACAGCAGATCCAAGACCAGTGAGAGGTCTCCAACCAGACTGCAGCCAACACCAGGTAAGACACATACACTATGAGAGACCAGAGAGAGACCAGAGAGAGACCAGAGAGAGAGACCAGAGAGACAGAGAGAGACCAGAGAGAGACCAGAGAGAGACCAGAGAGAGAGACCAGAGAGAGACCAGAGAGAGAGACCAGAGAGAGACAGAGAGAGAGACCAGAGAGAGATCAGAGGGACCAGAGAGAGACCAGAGAGAGACCAGAGAGAGACCAGAGAGAGACCAGAGAGAGAGACCAGAGAGAGACCAGAGAGAGAGACCAGAGAGAGACCAGAGAGAGAGACCAGAGAGAGATCAGAGGGACCAGAGAGAGACCAGAGAGAGACCAGAGAGAGATCAGAGGGACCAGAGAGAGACCAGAGAGAGACCAGAGAGAGACCAGAGAGAGAGAGACCAGAGAGAGATCAGAGGGACCAGAGAGAGACCAGAGAGAGATCAGAGGGACCAGAGAGAGACCAGAGAGAGAGACCAGAGAGAGACCAGAGAGAGACCAGAGAGAGAGACCAGAGAGAGATCAGAGGGACCAGAGAGAGACCAGAGAGAGAGACCAGAGAGAGACCAGAGAGAGACCAGAGAGAGAGACAGGAGATAGAAACCAGAGATAGAGAACAGAGAGAGACCAGAGAGAGACCAGAGAGATACCAGAGAGAGACCAGAGAGAGAGACCAGAGAGAGAGACCAGAGAGAGACCAGAGAGAGACCAGAGAGAGATCAGAGGGACCAGAGAGACACCAGAGAGAGACCAGAGAAAGACCAGAGAGAGAGACAGGAGATAGAAACCAGAGAGAGACCAGAGAGAGACCAGAGAGAGAGACAGGAGATAGAAACCAGAGAGAGACCAGAGAGAGAGACCAGAGAGAGATCAGAGGGACCAGAGAGAGACCAGAGAGAGACCGGAGAGAGACCAGAGAGAGAGAGACCAGAGAGAGACCAGAGAGAGACCAGAGAGAGAGACCAGAGAGAGATCAGAGGGACCAGAGAGAGGCCAGAGAGAGACCAGAGAGAGACCAGAGAGAGAGACCAGAGAGAGACCAGAGAGAGACCAGGGAGAGACCAGAGAGAGAGACCAGAGAGAGACCAGAGAGAGACCAGAGAGAGACCAGAGAGAGAGACCAGAGAGAGACCAGAGGGACCAGAGAGAGACCAGAGAGAGAGACCATAAAGAGATTAGAGATAGACCAAAGAGAGACCAGAGAGAGACCAGCCAGAGAGGGAGACCAGAGAGAGAGACCGGAAAGAGAACAGAGAGAGACCAGCCAGAGAGGGAGACCAGAGAGAGAGACCGGAGATAGAAACCAGAGAGAGACCAGAGAGAGAGACCAGACCAGAGAGGGAGACCAGAGAGGGAGACCAGAGAGAGAGAGACCAGAGAAGAGAGACCAGAGAGAGACCAGAGAGAGACCAGAGAGAGACCCAGAGAGAGACCAGAGAGAGACCAGAGAGAGACCAGAGAGAGACCAGAGAGAGACCAGAGACCAGAGAGAGACCAGAGAGAGACCAGAGAGAGACCAGAGAGACCAGAGAGAGACCAGAGAGAGACCAGAGAGAGACCAGAGAGAGACCAGAGAGAGACCAGAGAGAGACCAGAGAGAGACCCCAGAGAGAGACCAGAGAGAGAGACCAGAGAGAGACCGAAGAGAGAAGAGAGGACCAGAGAGAGACCAGAGAGAGACCAGAGAGAGACCAGAGAGAGACCAGAGAGAGACCAGAGAGAGACCCAGAGAGACCAGAGAGAGACCAGAGAGAGACCCAGAGAGAGAGGACCAGAGAGAGACCAGAGAGAGACCAGAGAGAGACCAGAGAGAGAGGACCAGAGAGAGACCAGAGAGAGGGACCAGAGAGAGACCAGAGAGAGAGACCAGAGAGAGACCAGAGAGAGAGACCAGAGAGAGAGACCAGAGAGAGAGACCAGAGAGAGACCAGAGAGAGACCAGAGAGGAGACCAGAGAGAGAGAGACCAGAGAGGGAGACCAGAGAGAGACCAGATAGAGAGACCAGCCAGAGAGAGACCAGAGAGAGACCAGAGAGAGACCAGAGAGAGACCCAGAGAGAGACCAGAGAGAGACCAGAGAGAGACCAGAGAGAGAGACCAGAGAGAGACCAGAGAGAGAGACCAGAGAGAGACCAGAGAGAGACCAGAGAGAGACCAGAGAAGAGAGACCAGAGAATAGCTGAGAGAGAGACCAGAGATAGAGACCTGAGAGAGACCAGAGATAGAGACCAGAGAGAGAGACCAGAGAGAGAGACCAGAAGACAAGTATTGACAGAAGCAAAAGATTACAATGAAAATACACTTTGACACCAGTTCCCTGAAGTCTCCCATCACTGGACTAATCAGGCCCTGCCCTGCTTAACCTCTCCAGTCTGTCACTGATCTGATCTGTCTTTTCCTAAACATGTGTCACGGCTCGTCAGTTTACATAAACCTGAGGCTCATGTGGGTTAGATCATGGATAGGACTGACATACCAGAGAGGGACGAGAGAGAGACCAGAGAGAGACCAGAGAGAGACCAGAGAGAGACCAGAGAGAGACCAGAGAGAGACCAGAGAGAGACCAGAGAGGGACGAGAGAGAGACCAGAGAGACCAGAGAGAGACCAGAGAGAGACCAGAGAGAGACCAGAGAGAGACCAGAGAGAGACCGAGAGAGAGACCAGAGAGAGACCAGAGAGAGACCAGAGAGAGACCAGAGAGAGACCAGAGAGAGACCAGAGAGAGACCAGAGAGAGACCCAGAGAGAGACCCGAGAGACCCAGAGAGAGACCAGAGAGAGACCAGAGAGAGAGACCAGAGAGAGACCAGAGAGAGAGACCAGAGAGAGACCAGAGAGAGACCAGAGAGAGACCAGAGAGAGAGACCAGAGAGAGAGAGACCAGAGAGAGACCCAGAGAGAGACCCAGAGAGAGACCAGAGAGAGACCAGAGAGAGACCAGAGAGAGACCCAGAGAGAGACCAGAGAGAGAGACCAGAGAGAGACCAGAGAGAGACCCAGAGAGAGACCGAGAGAGACCAGAGAGAGAGACCAGAGAGAGAGACCAGAGAGAGACCAGAGAGAGAGAGAGACCCAGAGAGAGACCCAGAGAGAGAGAGACCAGAGAGAGAGACCAGAGAGAGACCCAGAGAGAGACCCAGAGAGAGACCAGAGAGAGACCCAGAGAGAGACCAGAGAGAGAGACCAGAGAGGACCAGAGAGAGACCAGAGAGAGACCAGAGAGAGACCAGAGAGAGACCAGAGAGAGAGACCAGAGAGAGACCAGAGAGAGAGACCAGAGAGAGACCAGAGAGAGACCAGAGAGAGACCAGAGAGAGACCAGAGAGAGACCAGAGAGAGACCAGAGGAGACCAGAGAGACCAGAGAGAGACCAGACCAGAGAGAGAGAGAGACCATAAGAGAGAGCCAGAGAGACCAGAGAGACCAAAGAGAGGAACCAGAGAGAGACCAGAAAGAGACCAAGAGAGACCATGAAAGAGAGACCAGAGAGAGACCAGAGAGAGACCAGAGAGGGATACATACTGTCATCTGGAGATACTCTAAGAGAGAGACCAGAGAGAGAGACCAGAGACTTTCAGGTCATACTTTTACTCACTGCTGTTTCTTTGTCGTAATCTTAAACCTCCCATCACATCAAACCGCTCACTCCTGGGTCTGCAGCCTCAGTCCTGGGTCTACAGCCTCAGTCCTGGGTCTACAGCCACAGTCCTGGGTCTACAGCCTCAGTCCCTGGGTCTACAGCCTCAGTCCTGGGTCTACAGCCTCAGTCCTGGGTCTACAGCCTCAGTCCTGGGTCTGCAGCCTCAGTCCTGGGTCTACAGCCTCAGTCCTGGGTCTAACAGCCTCAGTCCTGGGTCTACAGCCTCAGTCCTGGGTCTACAGCCTCAGTCCTGGGTCTACAGCCTCAGTCCTGGTCTACAGCCTCAGTCCTGGGTCTACAGCCTCAGTCCTGGTCTACAGCCTCAGACCTGGATTTCTAGCAGCCTCAGTCCTGGGTCTGCAGCCTCAGTCCTGGGTCTACAGACTCAGTCCTGGGTCTACGGTGCCTCAGTCCTGGGTCTACAGCCTCAGTCCTGGGTCTGCAGCCTCAGTCCTGGGTCTACAGCCTCAGTCAGGAACGGTTGGTGAGGGGGGGCATAGGAAGAAGCCTGAGGAAGTGGAAAGTTTCCTGGGACATGAGGTGTGTTCCCTGCAGGTCTCTCAGTTCCCCGTTCCAGTCCTCAGAAACGCAGAAAAACCCAGTCCTCAGGACAACGGACAAACCCTGAGAGAGATGATGGAATAATTGTTTTTCAGACGTCCCTGTAGAACTAAGCCATCCCCCCACTGTTCAGTTTGTCTTTTCGTCTTGAAACTTGTCCCAGGACCTAGACCAGACCACGACGTGGACTTTTTCATTTCGCTTTTTCCAAACCTGGTATTTGGTTATGGGAATTTCCACGTCTGATGATGTGTGTTTTGAGGAGACCATGGTTGCGGTGTTATTCAAACAACAGGCTGCATACAAACCTGGCAGCACAGCAACCCCCTACCACCTCGAGCCTCAGCCTTCAGGGGTAAGACCTGTTCCGGACTCTCTCTATGGTCTCTCCTCTAGTCTCTCTCTGGACTCTCTCATCTTGGCTCTCTCTCGTGTCTCCACCTCTGGTCTCCTCTCGGTCTCCTCTCATGGTCTCCCTCTGGGTCTCTCTCTGGTCTTCCCTCTAGTCCTCTCTCGTGGCTGCTCTCTCCTGGACTACGTCTCTGGTCGCCCTCGGGTCCTCTCCCTCATCTGGTCCTCTCTCTCTGGACTCTCTCTGGGCTCACTCCGGGTCTCTCATCTGGTCTCGCTCTCTGGTCTCCCTCTGGTCGCTCGCTGGTCCGCTCTCTCTGGTCCTCTCCTCATGGTCTCCATCACCTCTGGTCTCTCTCTGGTCTCTCTCTCTGGTCTCATCTCGCAGGTGGGTCTCCCTCTGGGGTCTCTCTCTGAGTTCTCTCCCTACTCGCCGGTCCCTTTTCCGGGTCTCTTTCCTGCTGCTCCGTCTCCGCGTCTCTCTCTCTCTGGTCCCCATAGGGTCCAGCTGCTGCGGAAGTAATAACCCGCACATTTGGGGGCTAAAAATTATGACCAAAACACTGAAATCTGACTGTGATAGGGATCCCAGTGTGGCCTCGGTCACTCTGGCTCCCCTCAGCTGTGCCAGGTCACCTCTGCACCCCCTGCTGGTCCCTGCTTTCATCTGCTGTAGACTGGGTACACTAGTGCCCACTCTGCTGGTGTTAGGTTTTCCTGGCTCCATCGGCTGTTGCACGGGTCCTCAAAGGCCCCGTCTGCTGGTGGTTGGTTTTCCATGGCTCCATCTGCTGTTGCTGGACCCCTCCTCTCGATGGCCCCTCTGCTGTTTGCTTTGTCTTTGTGGTGCCCCTCTGCTGGAGCTGGTCACTCTTAGGCAGCCCCCTGTTGGGTCTCTCTGGTTCCCCTGCCTGTATGCTGGGTCCTCCCTGTCTCGCCCCCCTGCTGGTCTCTCAAGGTTGCCGCCCTGCTGTGCCCTGCCTTTGTCCTGACTGCTGCTTCCTGAGGCTGAGGATGGGACCAGGACTTTCCACTCACATGGTCCGCGCACATGGTCCGCTCACATGGTCCGCTCACATGGTCCACTCACATGGTTCAACTGTATAAACCAGCAAGAGTCAGAACTCAACCAGTAAAGAGCTACAGTGGGGCAAAAAAGTATTTAGTCAGCCTCCGATTGTCCAAGTTCTCCCACTTAAAATAATGACAGAGGTCTGTAATAGGGTTTAATCCCGAGACACGGGATTCCCGGGAAATCTGATCAAAACTATTTCCCGTAATTCCCGGGAAATGTTATTACGGGAACCGGGAAATTAAAGTTAAAAAAAAAATCCAGTGCGCTCCAATTATAGAGCACGTTTATTGTTGTTCAAAGTTGAAACATATTTCATTTACAATCAACATGTCTACAGCTGAGAGGATGGCTCATAAATTGTGTTTTTGAAACAAATATGGGTCTTAATCGCGCTAAACCACGACTTGTAATGAGGCCTCAGGGTACGGGGCACATGTGAGCCCAGGATTTGGCTACGTCCAATTCTATCAGAAAGCTCCTTTCTTTTTTCCATCTGCTAAGGGCAGCAACAGGTTTGGCTAACATACATATAACACATTTTAAAATCATATAAAATGCATTTAGGGTAATGTTCTGCTTCCAGTGACGATAGGAATGATAAGGAAGAGAGGTGAAGGGTAAGAAGGTTGATATTAGAAATTGGATGCGCCCGAGAGCCGGCTGCAGCGAAAACACAGGAGTTTATGGAGGTGGCACCCGTTTTGTTTTACGCTTTAAAACTCTTTGGGCTTATTTCCAAATGGGGGATTACATATCTGCGCTCAAACTATTATCTGGACTTAAACATGAAACTGGTCTGAACCGAAGTGGTCTGTGCTGTTCATTAATAACTAAGGTAAGACCCATAACACAATTGGAAATGTGCCTTTTACGAACTTTTGCGTTTTGTTTGAGCAAACAATGCGGGCATGGAAAACATTCTGCTGTAGCCAAACTAATTGTGAATAAGCCGCTCTGTAGGTTCTGTTGATTTATATGATATATGTTCATCTGACAGGACTGAAGTCAGTGCCTCCAAACCACACGTCACTGGTCGACAAGTGGATTACAGACATTTAGAATCTCATAATAGTGAAATTCCTGAAGAAAGCCCATCAACAAAACGTCTGAAAACGCTGTGGCTACTTTAGCAAAGCTAGCAAGTCGCTCGGTGAAACACTAGTGGAGACGGCAGCTTTTGTTGGATTATATATTTGAGTGATATCATACATTACTTGGGCTAAAAACAACAACTACAAACAACAGCTATTTCCCGGGAATTCCCGGGAACGGCGTCGTCTTTTCTCGGGATTTGATATGGCTCATTTTCGGGAAAAATATTAAACCCTAGTCTGTAATGTTCATCATAGGTTCACTTCAACTGTGAGAGACAGAATGTGAAAAAAACATCCAGGAATTCACATTGTAGGAGTTTTAAAGAATTTATTTGTAAATGATGGTGGAAAATAAGTATTTGGTCCATAACAGAAATTCAACTCAATGGAAGGAGGTTCAAAATCTCACGATACATGGCCCCATTCATTCTTTCCTTAACACGGATCAGTCGTCCTGTCCCCTGAGCAGAAAAACAGCCCCAAAGCATGACGTTTCCACCCCCATGCTTCACAGTAGGTATGGTGTTCTTCTTCCTCCAAACACGACGAGTTGAGTTTATACCAAACAGTTGTACTTTGGTTTCATCTGACCACATGACATTCTCCCAATCCTCTGCTGTATCATCCATGTGCTCTCTGGCAAACTTCAGACGGGCCTGGACATGCACTGGCTTCAGCAGGGGGACACGTCTGGCACTGCAGGGTTTGATTCCCTGTCGTCGTAGTGTGTTACTGATGGTAACCTTTGTTACTTTGGTCCCAGCTCTCTGCAGGTCATTCACCAGGTCCCCCCGTGTGGTTCTGGGATCTTTGATCACCGTTCTCATGATCATTTTGACCCCACAGGATGAGATCTTGCGTGGAGCCCCAGATCGAGGGAGATTATCAGTGGTCTTGTATGTCTTCCATTTTCTGATAATTGCTCCCACAGTTGATTTGTTCACACCAAGCTGCTTGCCTATTGTAGATTCACTCTTCCCAGTCTGGTGCAGGTCTACAGTTCTTTTCCTGGTGTCCTTGGACAGCTCTTTGGTCTTGGCCATAGTGGAGTTTGGAGTCTGACTGTTTGAGGCTGTGGACAGGTGTCTTTTATACAGATGAGTTCAAACAGGAGCCATTAATACAGGTAACGAGTGGAGGACAGAAGAGCTTCTTAAAGAAGAAGTTACAGGTCTGTGAGAGCCACAGATCTTCCTTGTTTGAAGTGACCAAATACTTATTTTCCACCATTTACAAATAAATTCTTTAAAACTCCTACAATGTGAATTCCTGGATTTTTTTTTCACATTCTGTCTCTCACAGTTGAAGTGAACCTATGATGAAAATTACAGACCTCTGTCTTTATTTTAAGTGGGAGAACTTGGACAATTGGAGGCTGACTAAATACTTTTTTGCCCCACTGTATTTTAGAGTAAATGTGTTTGGACTTTTACAAACTGAGAGAGACCAGAGAGAGACCAGAGATAGAGACCAGAGAGGAACCAGAGAGAGACCAGAGAGAGAGACCAGAGAGAGACCAGAGAGAGACCAGAGAGAGAGACCAGAGAGAGACCAGAGAGAGACCAGAGATAGAGACCAGAGAGGAACCAGAGAGAGACCAGAGAGAGAGACCAGAGAGAGACCAGAGAGAGACCAGAGAGAGAGACCAGAGAGAGACCAGAGAGAGACCAGAGAGAGACCAGAGAGGAACCAGAGAGAGACCAGAGAGAGAGACCAGAGAGAGACCAGAGAGAGAGACCAGAGAGGAACCAGAGAGAGACCAGAAAGAGAGACCAGAGAGAGACCAGAGAGAGAGACCAGAGAGGAACCAGAGAGAGACCAGAGAGAGAGACCAGAGAGAGACCAGAAAGAGACCAGAGAGAGAGACCAGAGAGGAACCAGAGAGAGACCAGAGAGAGAGACCAGAGAGAGACCAGAGAGAGACCAGAGAGAGAGACCAGAGAGAGAGACCAGAGAGGAACCAGAGAGAGACCAGAGCGAGACCAGAGAGAGAGAGACCAGAGAGAGAGACCAGAGAGAGACCAGAGAGAGACCGGAGAGAGACCACAGCGAGACCAGAGAGAGAGACCAGAGAGAGACCAGAGAGAGACCAGAGCGAGACCAGAGAGAAACCACATCCCTATGTTCCTAAACCATGGGTGTAGTTGGATGATTCCTGGTTTGACTCGGAGCCAGTCGTTGTTTAGTTTCCTGTTTTCTGAGCCGGGGTCAGCGCTCGGGTCAGAGGTTATTAATATAAATGTGTTTGTTTGAAACTGGATAGTGGCAGACAGGAAGTGCGCGCTGCCACTTCCTGTCCAGAGTTTGGCACCACCGTCGACATGGACCAGAATAGAACATGAGGCTAAAGTTACAGATGGATTCAACTGGGATTCAAACCATCAACAATCACTGCGTCGAGACTGGAACACACACACACTCTCTCTGGTCTCTCTCTCTGGTCTCTCTCTGGTCTCTCTCTGGTCTCTCTCTCTGGTCTCTCTCTCTGGTCTCTCTCTGGTCTCTCTCTGGTCTCTCTCTCTGGTCTCTCTCTCTGGTCTCTCTCTGGTCTCTATATGGTCTCTCTCTGGTTTCTCGCTGGTCTCTCTGGTTTCTCTGTGGTCTCTATGGTCTCTCTGTGGTCTCCTGTCTCTCTCTGGTCCCTCTGGTCTCTTTATGGTCTCTCTGGTCTCTCTCTGGTCTATCTCTGGTCTATCTCTGGTCTCTCACTGGTCTCTCTGGTTTCTCTGTGGTCTCTATGGTCTCTCTCTGGTCTCCTGTCTCTCGCTGGTCCCTCTGGTCTCTCTGGTTTCCCTGTGGTCTTTGTGGGTCTCTCTCTCGTCTCTTGCTGGTCTCTCTGGTCTCTTCCTGGTCTCTCTATGGTCTCCTGTCTCTCTCTGGTCTCTTCCTGGTCTCTCTGGTCTCTCTCTGGTCTGTCTGGTCTCTTCCTGGTCTCTCTGGTCTCTCTCTGGTCCGTCTGGTCTCTTCCTGGTCTCTTCTGTCTCTTCCTGGTCTCTCTGGTCTCTTCCTGGTAACCAGTATCTGTATTATAAAGTCTCTTTGAGACAAATACATGATTTAGTAAAACGTCTGCATCAGGGAAGAACCAAACCAAACCGTAAATGTGTTTTTTTTTGTTTAGAATTTATTTTCTATAAACCATGTTGATGATGTTGATGGTGTTAGGCTTGGAGCCTTCTGGTAGTTCAGGGGGTCCAGGCCTACCATCAGAGACTCTGCGAAGTCCAAACCGTCGGAACCATCTGTGTCCAAGACTTTAACACACTGCTGCTCTGAGCCTCTGCCGTCTGAGTCAGAAACACATTTCATTTATGTCGCTGAAGCATGACTGTAAAGTGCTGTTAAAGTGTTGCTGATGCAGAAGCGTGACTGTAAAGTGCTGTTAAAGTGTTGCTGATACAGAAGCGTGACTGTAAAGTGCTGTTAAAGTGTCGCTGATACAGAAGCGTGACTGTAAAGTGCTGTTAAAGTGTTGCTGATGCAGAAGCGTGACTGTAAAGTGCTGTTAAAGTGTCGCTGATACAGAAGCGTGACTGTAAAGTGCTGTTAAAGTGTTGCTGATGCAGAAGCGTGACTGTAAAGTGCTGTTAAAGTGTCGCTGATACAGAAGCGTGACTGTAAAGTGCTGTTAAAGTGTCGCTGATACAGAAGCGTGACTGTAAAGTGCTGTTAAAGTGTCGCTGATACAGAAGCGTGACTGTAAAGTGCTGTTAAAGTGTTGCTGATGCAGAAGCGTGACTGTAAAGTGCTGTTAAAGTGTTGCTGATACAGAAGCGTGACTGTAAAGTGCTGTTAAAGTGTCGCTGATACAGAAGCGTGACTGTAAAGTGCTGTTAAAGTGTTGCTGATGCAGAAGCGTGACTGTAAAGTGCTGTTAAAGTGTCGCTGATACAGAAGCGTGACTGTAAAGTGCTGTTAAAGTGTTGCTGATGCAGAAGTGTGACTGTAAAGTGCTGTTAAAGTGTCGCTGATACAGAAGCGTGACTGTAAAGTGCTGTTAAAGTGTTGCTGATGCAGAAGCGTGACTGTAAAGTGCTGTTAAAGTGTCGCTGATACAGAAGCGTGACTGTAAAGTGCTGTTAAAGTGTTGCTGATGCAGAAGCGTGACTGTAAAGTGCTGTTAAAGTGTCGCTGATACAGAAGCGTGACTGTAAAGTGCTGTTAAAGTGTCGCTGATACAGAAGCGTGACTGTAAAGTGCTGTTAAAGTGTTGCTGATGCAGAAGTGTGACTGTAAAGTGCTGTTAAAGTGTTGCTGATGCAGAAGCGTGACTGTAAAGTGCTGTTAAAGTGTTGCTGATACAGAAGCGTGACTGTAAAGTGCTGTTAAAGTGTCGCTGATACAGAAGCGTGACTGTAAAGTGCTGTTAAAGTGTTGCTGATACAGAAGCGTGACTGTAAAGTGCTGTTAAAGTGTCGCTGATACAGAAGCGTGACTGTAAAGTGCTGTTAAAGTGTTGCTGATACAGAAGCGTGACTGTAAAGTGCTGTTAAAGTGTTGCTGATGCAGAAGTGTGACTGTAAAGTGCTGTTAAAGTGTTGCTGATGCAGAAGCGTGACTGTAAAGTGCTGTTAAAGTGTCACTGATACAGAAGTGTGACTGTAAAGTGCTGTTAAAGTGTCACTGATACAGAAGCGTGACTGTAAAGTGCTGTTAAAGTGTCACTGATACAGAAGCGTGACTGTAAAGTGCTGTTAAAGTGTCGCTGAAGTGTGACTGTAAAGTGCTGTTAAAGTGTCACTGAAGTGTGACTGTAAAGTGCTGTTAAAGTGTCACTGATACATAAGTGTGACTGTAAAGTGCTGTTAAAGTGCCGCTGATGCAGAAGCACCTCCTCCTGTTTTTCCAAACACAGACGTCAGACTGAACTCAGCTGAACACGGTCTAACAGCTTCTGTCAGACCGTGTTCCTCAGGTCCCTTTGGGGGGTTCTCCGGGAGTACAGGGTTTGGGGTCCAGGGTCTGGGGTCCAGGGACTGGGGTCCGGGGGTTTGGGGTCCAGGGTCTCGGGTCCAGGGTCTCGGGTCCAGGGTCTGGGGTCCTCTGCTGAGGGCCTGGTCCCTGTTTGACTGGAGCTAGAGCTGTGTTCATCTGCATAAGTCAGACCTGGTCCTGGTGTTGACATCTGCAAGGACCACAGTCAGGGGCACGAGGGGGTCCGGTTCAGAGACCGCAGCCAAGGGCCGGAAGGGGTCCGGTTCAGAGACCGCAGCCAGGGGCCGGAAGGGGTCCAGGTTCAGAGACCGCAGCCAGGGGCCAGAGTTTCTGGTCATTTCCGGGTCCTGGTCCTCTCCAGCCAGGTGCAGAGGTCTCTGGGTCTTGTTCACAGTGAGGGAAGGAGGTGAGACTGAAGGTGGATCGGAGCAGCGTCTGCAGTCAGAGCTCTATCAGACTGTTATGGAAAAGATGGAGCAGCGTCTGCAATCAAAGCTCTATCAGACTGTTGTGGTAAAGATGGAGCAGCGTCTGCAGTCAGAGCTCTATCAGACTGTTATGGAAAAGATGGAGCAGCGTCTGCAGTCAAAGCTCTATCAGACTGTTGTGGTAAAGATGGAGCAGCGTCTGCAGTCAGAGCTCTATCAGACTGTTATGGTAAAGATGGAGCAGTGTCTGCAGTTAGAGCTCTATCAGACTGTTGTGGTAAAGATGGAGCAGCGTCTGCAGTCAGTGCTCTATCAGACTGTTATGGTAAAGATGGAGCAGCGTCTGCAGTCAGAGCTCTATCAGACTGTTATGGTAAAGATGGAGCAGCGTCTGCAGTCAGAGCTCTATCAGACTGTTATGGTAAAGATGGAGCAGCGTCTGCAGTCAAAGCTCTATCAGACTGTTGTGGTAAAGATGGAGCAGCGTCTGCAGTCAGAGCTCTATCAGACTGTTATGGTAAAGATGGAGCAGTGTCTACAGTTAGAGCTCTATCAGACTGTTGTGGTAAAGATGGAGCAGCGTCTGCAGTCAGAGCTCTATCAGTCTGTTATGGTAAAGATGGAGCAGCGTCTGCAGTCAGAGCTCTATCAGACTGTTATGGTAAAGATGGAGCAGTGTCTGCAGTTAGAGCTCTATCAGACTGTTGTGGTAAAGATGGAGCAGCGTCTGCAGTCAGAGCTCTATCAGTACTACCACTGGTGCAGAGAATGGGGTTTCTTTACAGAAGGCGGTAACACTTTACATTACGGGCCGGTAAGTCCATGGTACTTACAGTGGTACTTCTAGGTACTTACAGTGGTACTTCTAGGTACTTACAGTGGTACTTACGGTGGTACTTACGGTGGTACTTACGGTGGTACTTACGGTGGTACTTACAGGGGTACTTACGGTGGTACTTACGGTGGTACTTACGGTGGTACTTACGGTGGTACTTACAGTGGTACTTACAGTGGTACTTACAGTGGTACTTCTAGGTACTTACAGTGGTACTTCTAGGTACTTACAGTGGTACTTACGGTGGTACTTACGGTGGTACTTACGGTGGTACTTACGGTGGTACTTACGGTGGTACTTACGGTGGTACTTACAGTGGTACTTACGGTGGTACTTACGGTGGTACTTACGGTGGTACTTACGGTGGTACTTACGGTGGTACTTACAGGGGTACTTACGGTGGTACTTACGGTGGTACTTACGGTGGTACTTACAGTGGTACTTACAGTGGTACTTACAGTGGTACTTACAGTGGTACTTCTAGGTACTTCTAGGTACTTACAGTGGTACTTCTAGTGGTACTTCTAGGTACTTATTGTGGTACTTACAGTGGTACTTCTAGGTACTTACAGTGGTACTTAGAGGTACTTATTGTGGTACTTACAGTGGTACTTCTAGGTACTTATTGTGATAATTCTAGATACAGCTGTAACTTAGTAATTCAAGGACACTACAGTATTATTCCTATGTAGTAAATGTGGTACTTCTACATACATACATACAGAGGTCATTTGTAGGATTGTTTGACTATAAAACATAAAACAACATTATGTAAAACAAACGTCTTTATTAATATGGAATAAGTAGCACAGAAAGGACAGTATAAATACATTTAATGCATATTTCAAAACAAGTTTCAAGGACAAGGGAAACACTGCAAGAACTAGGTACCCAACCCAAGTAACAAGAATTACACATTACCAGGTACTTACCAGCCAAGTACCAGGTACTTACCAGCAAGTACCAGGTACTTACCAGCAAGTACCAGGTACTTAACAGCAAGTACCAGGTACTTAACAGCAAGTACCAGGTACTTACCATAGGGACTGGCCCATAATAAGACAAAGGACTTTAACATAAGTACCAGTGATAACACCAGTAATTATACAGTAAGTACCAGGTACTTACCATAGGGACTGGCCCATAATAAGACAAAGGACTTTAACATAAGTACCAGTGATAACACCAGTAATTATATAGTAAGTACCAGGTACTTACCATAGGAACTGGCCCATAATAAGACAAAGGACTTTAACATAAGTACCAGTGATAACACCAGTAATTATATAGTAAGTACCAGGTACTTACCATAGGAACTGGCCCATAATAAGACAAAGGACTTACCCATAAGTACTAGTGATACCAGTAATTATATAGTATACCATGTACTTACCAGCAAGTACCTGGTACTTGCTGGTAAGTACCTGGTACTTGCTGGTAAGTACCTGGTACTTGCTGGTAAGTACCTGGTACTAGCTGGTAAGTACCTGGTACTTGCTGGTAAGTACCTGGTACTTGCTGGTAAGTACCTGGTACTTGCTGGTAAGTACCTGGTACTAGCTGGTAAGTACCTGGTACTTGCTGTATAATTACTGGTGTTATCACTGGTACTTATGTTAAAGTCCTTTGTCTTATTATGGGCCAGTTCCTATGGTAAGTACCTGGTACTTACTATATAATTACTGGTGTTATCACTGGTACTTATGTTAAAGTCCTTTGTCTTATTATGGGCCAGTTCCTATGGTAAGTACCTGGTACTTACTATATAACTACTGGTGTTATCACTGGTACTTATGTTAAAGTCCTTTGTCTTATTATGGGCCAGTCCCTATGGTAAGTACCTGGTACTTGCTGTTAAGTACCTGGTACTTGCTGTTAAGTACCTGGTACTTGCTGGTAAGTACCTGGTACTTGCTGGTAAGTACCTGGTACTTGGCTGGTAAGTACCTGGTAATGTGTAATTCTTGTTACTTGGGTTGGGTACCTAGTTCTTGCAGTGTTTCCCTTGTCCTTGAAACTTGTTTTGAAATATGCATTAAATGTATTTATACTGTCCTTTCTGTGCTACTTATTCCATATTAATAAAGACGTTTGTTTTACATAATGTTGTTTTATGTTTTATAGTCAAACAATCCTACAAATGACCTCTGTATGTATGTATGTAGAAGTACCACATTTACTACATAGGAATAATACTGTAGTGTCCTTGAATTACTAAGTTACAGCTGTATCTAGAATTATCACAATAAGTACCTAGAAGTACCACTGTAAGTACCACAATAAGTACCTCTAAGTACCACTGTAAGTACCTAGAAGTACCACTGTAAGTACCACAATAAGTACCTAGAAGTACCACTAGAAGTACCACTGTAAGTACCTAGAAGTACCTAGAAGTACCACTGTAAGTACCACTGTAAGTACCACCGTAAGTACCACCGTAAGTACCACCGTAAGTACCACCGTAAGTACCACCGTAAGTACCACCGTAAGTACCACCGTAAGTACCACCGTAAGTACCACTGTAAGTACCACCGTAAGTACCACCGTAAGTACCACCGTAAGTACCACCGTAAGTACCCCTGTAAGTACCACCGTAAGTACCACCGTAAGTACCACCGTAAGTACCACCGTAAGTACCACCGTAAGTACCACCGTAAGTACCACTGTAAGTACCACTGTAAGTACCACCGTAAGTACCACCGTAAGTACCACCGTAAGTACCACTGTAAGTACCTAGAAGTACCACTGTAAGTACCTAGAAGTACCACTGTAAGTACCACTGTAAGTACCACTGTAAGTACCACCGTAAGTACCACCGTAAGTACCACCGTAAGTACCCCTGTAAGTACCACCGTAAGTACCACCGTAAGTACCACCGTAAGTACCACCGTAAGTACCACCGTAAGTACCACCGTAAGTACCACTGTAAGTACCTAGAAGTACCACTGTAAGTACCTAGAAGTACCACTGTAAGTACCATGGACTTACCGGCCCGTAATGTAAAGTGTTACCCAGAAGGCTAATGAGAACACACTTGTTGGAGCAGAAAAACATAAATCAGTTTGATCCGGTGTCAGTTTCAACAATATGAATCTGATCCGCTACTTCCTGTCCCAGCCACAGCTACTTCCTGTCCCAGCGGCAGCAGACAGGAAGTCAGCCCTAAATCAGCTCATTTCAGGATGTCTCTGAGATACAGACGGAAAAATCAAAGAATGTTTCAGACTACATCAATAAGACACTTTCTAAAAATAATTATTATATTTTCCTGAAAAACATGGAAACTGTGGAAAAGACTGGACGGTGGAGTAAAGATGGCATTAGTTTATATGCCCCTAATGTGTTCGATATGCAGTTCTACCACATGGTCAGCTCTATCTTGTTAGACTGTCTGAATACCAGTTTCTGATTGGGCGGGACTTTGGTGCTGCGTGGCTCCGTCCCATCGGCAGAACGGGGCTGGACATAAGTTGGTGAAGGAATACGGTCCGTGTGACGCATGGTGAGAATGTCCCTTTTACTCTGCGCGGCCCAAGACTTTTTCAAGAATCGATTATACTTTTATTTCAAAAGTCTTATTCTAAACAGTTTGCTGCAGTGAGATGACTCCTTCTGCTGTAACAGATCACACATTTTTATTTAAAGTAAGTAAACCCAGGGCCCCCGATGGCGATTTAACACTTCACTATTAAATAACAGAGATTTCTTAAAAACTCTGTCTGAGGATTTGAAGTTTTTTATCAAAGTGAACCAAAATTCAGTGAATGATCCTAGAATAGAATGAGAAGCAGCGAAAGGTTGCATCCGGAACACAACAAAAAGCTTTGCCTCCCAATTAAAGAAACTGTACCTGATTTATTTTCTAATGAGTTCATAAAATGTGTATGAACTCAGACCGTAAAAAGTGCTGAGTAGAGACTTTAGCGTGACGCCCGCTCTCCTCCAATCACAGAACGAGGCTGCGTCCTCTAGCCTCTACAGCGCTGCTAAACACAGTAGCATGTTAGCATAAGTGGCTATAGCTCCTCTGGCTGTAACTGCAGACACAGCAAAACAGCCCAAACCACACAACAGTGAGGAAGAGAAGAGGAACTAAAGCTAAACATGATCAAAGAAGAAACCAAGCCCTGAACAGAGCTAGCTTACATCGTATCCTCTGGAGAGACTGGTCTATGGGAGAGACCTGCGGGACCGCCTCGGACTATCTACGCTCGGACTATCTACGCTCGGACTATCTACGCTCGGACTATCTACGCTCGGACTATCTATGCTCGGACTATCTACGCTCGGACTATCTCTGCTCGGACTATGTCTGCTCGGACTATCTCTGCTCGGACTATCTCTGCTCGGACTATCTCTGCTCGGACTATCTCTGCTCGGACTATCTCTGCTCGGACTATCTCTGCTCGGACTATCTCTGCTCGGACTATCTCTGCTCGGACTATCTCTGCTCGGACTATCTGTGCTCGGACTATCTACGCTCGGACTATCTCTGCTCAGACTATCTCTGCTCGGACTATCTCTGCTCAGACTATCTACGCTCGGACTATCTACGTTCGGATTATCTACGTTCGGACTATCTCTGCTCGGACTATCTCTGCTCGGACTATCTCTGCTCGGACTATCTCTGCTCAGACTATCTCTGCTCGGACTATCTACGTTCGGATTATCTACGTTCGGACTATCTCTGCTCGGACTATCTCTGCTCGGACTATCTCTGCTCGGACTATCTACGCTCGGACTATCTCTGCTCGGACTATCTCTGCTCGGACTATCTGTGCTCGGACTATCTACGCTCGGACTATCTACGCTCGGACTATCTCTGCTCGGACTATCTCTGCTCGGACTATCTCTGCTCGGACTATCTCTGCTCGGACTATCTCTGCTCGGACTATCTCTGCTCGGACTATCTCTGCTCGGACTATCTCTGCTCGGACTATCTCTGCTCGGACTATCTGTGCTCGGACTATCTACGCTCGGACTATCTCTGCTCGGACTATCTACGCTCGGACTATCTCTGCTCGGACTATCTCTGCTCGGACTATCTCTGCTCGGACTATCTCTGCTCGGACTATCTCTGCTCGGACTATCTCTGCTCGGACTATCTCTGCTCGGACTATCTGTGCTCGGACTATCTACGCTCGGACTATCTCTGCTCAGACTATCTCTGCTCGGACTATCTCTGCTCAGACTATCTACGCTCGGACTATCTACGTTCGGATTATCTACGTTCGGACTATCTCTGCTCGGACTATCTCTGCTCGGACTATCTCTGCTCGGACTATCTCTGCTCAGACTATCTCTGCTCGGACTATCTACGTTCGGACTATCTACGTTCGGACTATCTCTGCTCGGACTATCTCTGCTCGGACTATCTCTGCTCGGACTATCTATGCTCGGACTATCTCTGCTCGGACTATCTCTGCTCGGACTATCTGTGCTCGGACTATCTACGCTCGGACTATCTACGCTCGGACTATCTCTGCTCGGACTATCTCTGCTCGGACTATCTCTGCTCGGACTATCTCTGCTCAGACTATCTCTGCTCGGACTATCTCTGCTCAGACTATCTACGCTCGGACTATCTACGTTCGGATTATCTACGTTCGGACTATCTCTGCTCGGACTATCTCTGCTCAGACTATCTCTGCTCGGACTATCTACGTTCGGATTATCTACGTTCGGACTATCTCTGCTCGGACTATCTCTGCTCGGACTATCTCTGCTCGGACTATCTCTGCTTGGACTATCTCTGCTCGGACTATCTCTGCTCGGACTATCTACGCTCGGACTATCTGTGCTCGGACTATCTACGCTCGGACTATCTCTGCTCGGGCTATCTCTGCTCGGACTATCTCTGCTCGGACTATCTCTGCTCGGACTATCTCTGCTCGGACTATCTCTGCTCGGACTATCTCTGCTCGGACTATCTACGCTCGGACTACATTTGGACATGAAACTAGCGTTAATCTTTCAGTTATATATTTTGTTAGCAGTGCGTTGCTTTTGTACCATTTCATCAGTGACTGTTGTATAGCTTACAAGGTGTTGTGCTAATGCTAATGTTAGCATATGTATCAGATCGCAAATAAAACTAGATGGCTCCGTGGGGGGGCGACAGTAGCTCAGTTGTTAGAGCATTGGCATTCAGGCCTGAAGGTCGTGGGTTCAATTCCCACCTCTGCACCTTCTCCACCGACTCCCACTGATGACTGCTGTCGTTGTGTCCTTGGGCAAGACACTTAACCCCACTTTGCCCAAAGCCCCCACTGAAAGATCAAGGCTCTGCTCACACTCAGAGAGCAGCCGTCCTCCTGTGGACTCACCACCTGCAGAGGGTCAGTGAGGGGCTGGTGCATCTCTGACTGCCACCCCCCTGACCCAGAAATGGATTAAAGGGAAGAAAATGGATGGATGGATGGATGGCTCCGTGGGAGGAGAGCGTAGTGGAAATGAGAAGCCTGTGAGCGAGTTGGTGGCGAAGAAAAGAAACTTGCAAGTGAGGGAATAGGAAGATAAATAGTGGTTATAGAGGAAGAAATGGTAACTAAAATGACACAAGACAACATAAAAAAGCGTCAGGGAAAGTGTTTTGTTCGCGGCAAAGAGCTGGATTTCAAATACAGCGGGTACGGCAGAAACATGAAACAGTGCCAGACTCAGACGGCTTTTTGACAATTGCGACGGTTAGTGCACATTCTTTCATTCGACGCTGAGAAGGCGTTTGACCGGCTGGAATGGAGCTACATCTGTGGGCTGTGCTTCAGCGTGTGGGTTTCCCCGTAGATCATATAAATATGGTTAAAACTCTGTATGCTAACCCTTCTGCAGTTGTGCTAACGGGTAATGTGTGCTCGCCCAGGTTTTCTTTATCGCTCAACGTGACAGGGCTGCCCCTTATCTCCTCTGTTATTCTGTCTATCTCTGGAGCCAATTGCAGAATTAATCAGACAATCGGAAGAAATGCCACCCATTAAGATTCATAACACTTCTCATTATATCTCTTTGTTTGCTGATGGTATTTTCATTTATACTAACCCTTCAGAATCAATCCTTCTATCCTAAAAACGTTTAAATCTTTTGTTAACATCTCGGGGTACAAAGTTACCTGCTTTAATGTCCTTGGGTCTAACAAACATGATCCCTGAGTACCATCTGATGAGAGCGTTACAGGAGTAAATATGACGTATACACATGGCTAAAACTACACTGTACAAACAACTGTGGTTGGTTTTTTGGAGGTTGTTTTGTGTTGTAACAATACTGAAGTGTTTTATGTTGGTTTAACTGACAATTATCAGTGTCAACAGTTTAGCACACAAGATTAAATGTTGTGTTCATTAAAGGGAAAACAGGAGGGAATGATAACAGAGTTTTATTTTTTTAATGAATATTTAATGCATTGTCTTTAAACTACTGTTGCCAAAGTTCACTGTGACTGTAAAGGTGAAAGGTCAGAGGTTACTTTCTGACCGTTGTCTTTCATGTTTGCAGCGTTAATGGAGGTCCATATGTTTGGGTTGTGAAGTGACTTTTGGGTTGTCAGCGTGAGATGAGCCTGGAAACATGTTTAGGCTAAAATGTCTGAACTGTGTCAACAAACTAATGGTTTGGACCATATGGAATCTTTGGAGTGACGATAATGTGGCCGTGATGAAGGTGTGGTTTTGTCTGAATAAAAAGGCCTGTGACCTGAGGACTTCAGTGCAGCACGGTCACAGCGCCAAGACCAGCAATGTGCCGGGACCATGAGTGTGCTCCTGGTGTTAAGTAAAAATGATCCTTGTCTGTTGTGTTGTCTTTGTCCAGACACTGTAGTCTTGAACCTTCTTTAACACATCCCAACTGTCTCCAGCATGAAATATCTTGGGGTTCTCATTAATCCTTGTCTCAATAGGCTGGTTCAAAACAAATACAAAAAGATGCTGCAGTTATTAAAATGAATGTATTTCCTGGTGTTCATTTCATCAGTTCAGAGCTACCTTTAGCACCAGCTCAAGGCTTCTTTAAAAAACTAACTTTGTTCATAAAAAAAATATTTATGGAACCAGAAAAAACAAGGATGAAAGCTTCTACTTTATATATATTTAAATCATCAGGGGGTGCAGCCGTGCTTTGGGACTCTTGGTGTTTTGTATGAAGACCCCTCATGGATCATAAGTCGACTGCATGGGGCCCATGGAAGCAGAATTAATAAAGCCCCTTACCCAATCTTTTACATTCCTTTAATCTCTTAACACCCGCCTCATTATGGCTTGTGCACAAAAGTTGGGCATACCCAAATGTCTTTGCTTATTTAAAAACACATCTTACATCTCACATGCTTGTGTGATGCATCATTTTAAAGCTAGAGCCTTCTAGTTTATGTAAAAAAACACTCAAATAATGTTTGTCATTCCTATTTCCCTCTGCATCCTTTGAAGTTTGGGAAAAAACCCCAATTTTTTTAGCCTCGTCTAACATTTTCTATTTCTAAAGGCCCTAAAAAAGGCATACTTCATTGTAAGTTCACAATATTCAAACCCTGTGGTCATTGTGTTGTTGACAACAACTGTCTAAAGTTTCAGACTTCTAAGTTTTATAGTTTTTATGCAGTTTCTCCTTTTCATCAAGTAGTGCACATTTGGCACAATTGTGCCAAATTGTGCCAAATTGTGCCAAATTGTGCCAAATATCTTTACTGACATTTAGGCCCTGTCCACACGAAGTCAAGCTCAGGCCTAAACGCAAAAATACTTTATCAATCCAGTGTATCGTCCATACGAGGCCGGCGTTTTGGGGGGGTGTAAACGAACATTTTTGAAACTAGGTCCCAGAGTGGAAAGATTTCAAAACTCCGTATATGCCGCTCCGTGGTTACTGCCTCTCCGCAATGTATCTGAGACGCTTGCGTCATCGCCCCGCCTCTTGTTAAAGCACGCATGCGCCGCACTCAGAAAATAATGACAACAACAATGTAGCTTGTTGGTTTTGTAATCCAGTGCGACCCGAAGCAACAGTTCAACCTCATCGTCCGTCCATACTAATGTAGTACCAGCTCGCCCACTCGCCATGTTGTCTGTTTACAAAATTCTGCGCATGCCCAGTTCCCGTCACGGAAGTTTGGGCTTGATCCCGTCATTGCGTCACAGCGCCACCAACAGGTCTGGCAAAGTTTCACAGCATTTTCAGGCGTATTGACTACATTCATATGGACGCACACATTTACTGAGCTAACTCCGTGTTTACAGAAAAAGTTTCTGAAATTATAAGCGTTTTGTCTTCGTGTGGATATAGCCTTAATCATCATAAAAACAATATTTTTTATTATTGGTACTTATAAGTTACTAATCTATGTGTTTTTTTTTTTTTAAATGTCAAAGTTATTTTTTTATGAGTGTAAATTCATTGCAGCTTCGAGAGCGTCTTTTGGCTTCCATTACGCACAATTCTACAGGCACAACATAAGACAGGACACCATTGTCCCACCCCTTGTTCGAAAGCTTTCCTCATTGGCTACACGGACATGTCAATCAAACATCCCGGAAATGGATCCAAACAAGCAGGAATAAAAACAAAGATCAGTGATCCATGCGCAAACAGCAGCGCTAGCTGTACTCACGGGAGCTCTTGCAGACCCAAAAATTGGTCTAGCTTTTCGGGAGTAGTCTCATTTGAAAGATAAGGAGCTAAGGAACACGTAGATACCAGATGTTTGGGTGAAAAACAAAGCTAAAAGTCCGTTAAAAGTGAAAAAGCAACATCTGGGCTCTTTTTTTTCGTTTTTTTTCGCTAAAGATAAATGCACATTTTTGGATTATTTCTGGAGAATGGATTTTACTTTGGGAAATACAAGTGGATATTATTTTCCTTTGGACTGTTCCAGAGAGAATGATGTATTGCAAGCTGGGAGGAGAGCTGATTTATTTGTACAGCACAAGCCCAAAGGTAAAAAACTATTTCGGAATTGATTTATTTTGTGCCCACATTATGTGTTATATATTTTGAATGCAAAGTCTGATGTAGTTTACACTTGTATATAAATGTAGATAAGAAAATAAGCTTTAAAATGATATACAGCTTTTGGGGTTTGGTGTTCAAAATACATCTGCTATTGCCAGCAGAACATTTAAAAACATAAAAACGGCACGCCGGCGCGCCGGTGGGTGTAATGATTCCAAATCGATATGGGCCCATTGTTGCACATGTGTCTGGAATAAAGTCAACAAATACATGGGCAAAGACAAAGATTATTTCTATCAAACACCAATATTCCACAATTACTCTCTGACTGATAAGAAACTCATTCTTTTCCTCAAAGGAGTTCACAATCTACGGGATGTTACAGGACAGCGTGGTCTAAGGACTTTCATGACAATTTACCTGAAGCGTCTTACCAACTGCTATGTGTTCTCATGGGGTCTCATGGGGTCTCATGGGGTCCCGTGGGGTCTCGTGGGTCTCATGGGGTCCCGTGGAGTCCCGTGGGGTCTCGTGGGTCTCATGGGGTCCCGTGGGGTCTCGTGTGGTCCCGAGGTCTCATGGGGTCCCGTGGGGTCCCGTGTGGTCCCGTGGGTCTCATGGGGTCTCATGGGGTCCCGTGGGGTCTCATGGGTCTCATGGGGTCCCGTGGAGTCCCGTGGGGTCTCGTAGGGTCCCGTGGGGTCCCGTGGGGTCTCGTGGGGTCTCGTGGGGTCCCGTGGGGTCCCGTGGGGTCCCGTGGGTCTCATAGGGTCCCGTGGGTCTCATGGGGTCCCGTGGGTCTCATGGGGTCCCGTGGGTCTCATGGGGTCCCGTGGGTCTCATGGGGTCCCGTGGGGATGCATGCTTAAAAACCATCCTCTCCACACCTCTTGAGCAAAGAAAGAACCACTGGCATAGTTTTGGACACATTATTAGTTTGTTCTTCACTAAAGTATCGCCTGTTGAGCAGCTTTGGAAACAGACCTGAGGGACCAGAGTGGGTCAAATATTTCACTTTCATCCAGGCCCTGTCTACACGTAGCAGGGCATTTATAAATCCGCCCTCCGCCTAAAAAAAAACTTCTGTCCACACAGCCTCGGTTTTTTAAAAAACGGCATCCACACCTAACCGCATACATGCGTTGTCAATTACATTTCAAACCTACAAACCTACCTTCCTCCGGGAGGACGACTTCCATCTCAAAGTTCTCCCACCAGCTGGCAGTGCGTCCCGGTCTGACCCAAAATTGCCGTTGCCGTCTTTGACGAGGAACATGTCTTGGACGAGGGATGGTTATTTGGCGGAAAATAGCCGACCTTAAAGTGCTCCTTCGTCTGTGCTCTTCAACATGAAGCAGTATTTGAGCTTGTAAAAACAAGCAAGCAAAAAGTGCCTGAACAATCGTTAAAACAAAAGCGGTTTTGATGGCCTCCATGTTGTTTCTGATGTAAACACAGGTCGCGCGTGTGACGTCAGAGCAGCACGCTGGTAGTGACGTACAGCCGAATACTCCGGTTATTTATGTCCACACTCAAACGCATAACCGGAGAATTCCCAAATCTTCACTTTGGCCGGAGTTTTCAGAAACCTTCGTTTTTATCGACAGAAAACTCCGGGTTTGTGTGGATGATAGGCCAGATCGTAGGAAAATATCTTCGGTTTGTGAGATACCCTGCTACGTGTAGACGGGGCCCCAGAAATCCCAATCACCAAATGACCCCTAATAAAATGATTGACCGAGCTTCTTTACATTCACGGAGACTACAGCTAAAGTGTCAAAGATAATCAATACTGTGATTTCTGTCCAGATGGAACAATTGGTACTTTTCTGAATGTGGTGCAGCAATGTCCAGAGGTTTTTAGTTTTTGGGAAAGTGTTACGAATCTGTTTTCAAACATCATGGAAGGAGTCACACCCTGCACTGCAAGGCTTCTCTTGTTAGGTGATGCCGATGGAAGACAGAGCAGCCTCTGACCACAGGGGGCGCTCCTGCAGAGACAGTCTAATGCAGGAAACTCTGCTGCTAAAAAACATGTATTATTTTTATTTACTTTGATTTATGTTTCATTTTCCTGAGCTTCTCTGCCCTGCACAACGGGAAAGGGGATATGGGGAACAAAAAGGGACAAAAAGTGAAGTGTGATACCTGTAAACCAGTGCAAACATGTAAATACAATGTAACTCTTCTTCTGTGTCTTACCTGTTGCCTTACCTCTGATCTCTGATTTCAATGGTTTTGTGAAGTCTCTGAGATGATGCTGCTGTGATTTAGGGAAAAACAAGAAAAAGTGGTTGTTGTTGTTGTTGTTGTTGTTGTTTTAGAACCTGTCGTGACTCTGCTCCACGTGTTTCACTGAACATCGTCTCTTTTCAGGATCCAAGAAGAAAACCAAGGTGGTCCGGAACAACGCCAACCCGGTCTGGAACGAGGTACGTGACCCACGCAACGACGGACTCTATGGTCTCTGTGTGTCTGTCTCTGTGTGTCTGTCTCTGTGTGTCTGTCTCTGTGTGTCTGTCTCTGTGTGTCTGTGTCTGTGTCTGTCTCTGTGTCTGTGTGTCTGTGTCTGTGTCTGTCTCTGTGTCTGTGTGTCTGCGTCTCTGTCTCTGTGTCTCTCTGTGTCTGTGTCTGTCTCTGTGTGTCTGTGTCTGTGTCTGTCTCTGTGTCTGTGTGTCTGCGTCTCTGTCTCTGTGTCTCTCTGTGTCTGTGTCTGTCTCTGTGTGTCTGTCTCTGTGTCTGTCTCTGTGTGTCTGTCTCTGTGTGTCTGTCTCTGTGTGTCTGTGTGTCTGTGTCTGTGTCTGTCTCTGCGTCTCTGTCTCTGTGTCTCTCTGTGTCTGTCTCTGTGTCTGTGTGTCTGTGTCTGTGTCTGTCTCTGTGTCTGTGTGTCTGCGTCTCTGTCTCTGTGTCTCTCTGTGTCTGTGTCTGTCTCTGTGTGTCTGTCTCTGTGTCTGTCTCTGTGTGTCTGTCTCTGTGTGTCTGTCTCTGTGTGTCTGTGTGTCTGTGTCTGTGTCTGTCTCTGTGTCTCTGTGTCTGTGTGTCTGTGTCTGTGTCTGTCTCTGTGTCTGTGTGTCTGCGTCTCTGTCTCTGTGTCTCTCTGTGTCTGTGTCTGTCTCTGTGTCTGTCTCTGTGTCTGTGTCTGTGTCTGTGTGTCTGTCTCTGTGTGTCTGTGTCTGTGTCTGTGTCTCTGTGTCTGTGTCTGTCTCTGTGTGTCTGTCTCTGTGTGTCTGTGTCTGTCTCTATGTCTGTCTCTGTGTCTGTGTCTGTGTCTCAGTGTCTGTGTCTCTGTGTCTGTGTCTATGTCTGTCTCTGTGTCTATGTCTGTCTCTGTGTCTGTGTCTGTGTCTGTCTCTGTGTCTCTCTGTCTCTGTGTCTCTGTGTCTGTGTCTGTGTCTGTGTCTCTGTGTTTCTGTGTCTGTCTCTCTGTGTCTCTGTCTGTGTCTCTGTGTCTGTGTCTGTGTCTCTGTGTCTCTCTGTCTCTGTGTCTCTGTGTCTCTGTGTCTCTGTGTCTGTGTCTCTGTGTCTGTGTCTCTGTGTCTGTGTCTCTGTGTCTCTGTGTCTGTGTCTCTGTCTCTCTGTCTCTGTGTCTCTGTGTCTGTGTCTCTGTGTCTGTCTCTCTGTCTCTGTGTCTCTGTGTCTGTGTCTCTGTGTCTGTCTCTCTGTCTCTGTGTCTCTGTGTCTGTGTCTCTGTGTCTCTGTGTCTGTGTCTCTGTGTGTGTGTCTCTGTGTCTCTGTGTCTCTCTGTCTCTGTGTCTGTGTCTCTGTGTCTCTGTGTCTCTGTGTCTGTGTCTGTGTCTCTGTGTCTCTGTGTCTCTGTGTCTGTGTCTGTGTCTCTGTGTCTCTGTCTCTCTGTCTCTGTGTCTCTGTCTGTGTCTCTGTGTCTCTGTCTCTCTGTCTCTCTGTCTCTGTCTCTGTGTCTCTGTCTGTGTCTCTGTGTCTCTCTGTCTCTGTGTCTGTGTCTCTGTGTCTGTGTGTCTCTGTGTCTGTGTCTCTGTGTCTGTCTCTGTGTCTGTGTCTCTGTGTTTTTGAGTTTGTGTGTGTGTGTGTGTGTGTGTGTTTGTTTAGGGGTTTGAGTGGGACCTGAAGGGGATCCCTCTGGACTCTGTCGCTGAACTGCAGTGTGTGGTGAAGGATCATGAGAAGATCGGACGCAACCGGTAAAAAACATTAAAGATGCTTTGTGTGTGTGTGTGTGTGTGTGTGTGTGTGTGTGTGAGGAGGAGAGCTTCTCCCTCTTCGGATACAAGCTCCTCCTCGGCAGAGTGGCTGCTCCCTTAAGCCTAGCGTACATCGACAGAGAAACTGGGGACAACTAGTTGCAAGGCGGCTTTTGGCGACTGAGAGGAGATGATGGAGATGATCAGTTGCTGAAATCGGTCGATGTGCGCGCTCTTACAACTGGAGATAAACAGTCGGTCTCCAGTTTCAGTCAGTTGCCCGTGTTCTACTTTTCGGCAACTTGTTGTCCTCAGTTTCGGAGATATGACCCGATGTGCGCGCTGTTATTCCCGAGACTGGTCTGATACTGGGAGTTGCCCGTTTTCGTCAGATTGTCGATGTGTGCGGGGCAGCAACTCATATGCGACGGATATAATCAGTTGCCAGTCCGATGTACGCTAGGCTTTAGAGATGGAGGAGCTCAGTCACACAGGAGGAGCTCAGAGTAGAGCCGCTGCTTCTTCACGTCGAGAGGAACCAGTTGACTCATCTGTTAAGGATGCCTCCTGGACGCCTCCCTGGGGAGGTGCTCCGGGTACTTTCCACCGGGAGGAGACCCCGGGAGGCACTCTCTCTGGGAACACCTTAGAGTCGGATGAGCTGGAGGAAGTGTGTGAGAGGGAAGTCTGGGGGTCTCTGCTTAGACTGCTGCCATTGCGACCCGGCAATGGATGAAGCGGAAGAAACTGAATCGATTGACTCACATTGTGTGTGTGTCTGTGTGTGTGTATGTGCGTGCATGTGCATGTGTGTGTCTGTGTGCGTCTGTCTGTCTGTGTGTGTGGGTCTTTGTTTGTATCTATGTGTGTCTGTCTGTGTGTGTGTGTGTATATATGTGTGTGTGTATGTCTGTGTCTGTGTGTGTCTGTCTGTGTGTCTGTGTGTGTATCTATGTGTGTATATGTGTGTGTCTGTGTGTGCGTGTTTGTGTGTGTATCTGTGTGTGTGTGTGTGTGTGTATATGTGTGTGTGTATATATGTGTGTGTGTATGTCTGTGCCTGTCTGTGTCTGTGTGTGTCTGTCTGTGTGTCTGTGTGTATCTATGTGTGTATATGTGTGTGTCTGTGTGTGTGTGTTTGTGTGTGTATCTGGGTGTGTGTGTGTGTGTGTATATCTGTGTGTGTATATGTGTGTGTGTATCTGTGTGTGTATCTGTGTGTGTGTGTCTGTGTGTGTATCTGTGTGTGTATCTGTCTGTGTGTATCTGTGTGTGTGTGTGTGTCTGTGTGTGCGTATGTCTGTCTGTGTGTGTGTGTCTGTGTGTATATCTGTGTGTGTATCTGTGTGTGTGTGTGTCTGTGTGTGCGTATGTCTGTCTGTGTGTGTGTGTCTGTGTGTGTATCTGTGTGTGTATCTGTCTGTGTGTATCTGTGTGTGTATCTGTCTGTGTGTGTGTTTGTGTGTGCATATGTCTGTCCGTGTGTGTGTATCTGTGTGTGTGTATCTGTGTGTGTATCTGTGTGTGTGTGTCTGTGTGTGTATATGTGTGTGTGTGTGTTGCAGGCTGCTGGGACAGAGCCGTCTGTCTCTCAGAGACGTCCTGCACTCTCCGTCTCTCACCGCGATGTTCACCGTGTCTCTGCTGGACGCCAAGAAGAACAACACTGGAGTGAGTGAGATTTAAAGATCTTTAAACACCTGTTCCCAGCCTGACTCCGCCCACAGCAGGGGTAAGAGGTGGGCTTAGAGGTGGGCGTGGTCTGGGCTGTGATTGACAGCTCGCTCGTTGTCATTGCTGCTTAAAACAACAGTTTACACACCAGAAGGTCTCATTCCTGTTTACACACTAAGATAATTGTAGAGCTACACACCTGAACCTAAGACACACAATTATCTCAGCAGCAGTGACGGTTAACTCATGTAATTACATTTTAAACCACTAGATGTCGCCACAATACTCCAACCTGCTGCTGTGTGTGTGAGAGTTGGATGGTTTTATACATAGTTCCTACATGACGTCACTACATACGGGGATTTGCCGACCCGGCGCCATTTGTGTTGGCATGCTGTGGGCAAAACAATAGAAAAAGAAGCTGAAACGTGTTAATGTCGTGATAAAGTTGAAAATGGTCGTCTCCTGCTGGGTCAATGGATGTTCAAATTGTGCCGGAGGTTCCGTTAAACTTGGATTTTACAGTATACCCATCATTAGACTTCATGAATGTGAGAAGACTAAGCTTTTGTCAGAACAACCACGGAGGTTATGGCTTGCGAAGATAAACAGGCAAGAAACTCCCTCAAAACACGCAAGAATATGCTCGGAGCACTTTGTGTCAGGTGCGTATCGTATCTTATAATGTGTTGACAGACGTAATTTACTCAGTACTAACTTGTGTATGCTGATATCTGGTAACTTGAAAGTTTCATTATTTAGATTACTTTATTATGAGGAGGATCGGTGTCGCGTCCGAGGCTCTCGAGGGCAACGTAAATGTATTAAATAGATAATAATAGTTCTATGGTGGGCTAAAACAATGTTCACAAACAGCATTGCTTCTGTAAAAAGATCTGTGTCATAAAATAAACTGCTCTTTACGCCTGGAAAAATCAGTTGCCCACCATTCACCAAAACATACGGTCAAAAACGCGGAAATAAACAATAACAGCAATCCAGAGTGTCCGTGTGGCATTAGCATTAATTAAATTAATTGTTAATATAATTTAAATAATTAAATGGAGCTCCAACTGGTATTAAATCTAAAGTTTTTGAGAAATGTTTGCATTGCTTGTTAATTTTTGCTGCATAATTTGATCAAATATGTAAAACATGTCCGTAGCACGTTAAACTGTGGTGCCATTGTATTAATATACAATTATTTGCACAAAAGTTGCCCTTTTTTTCCAATTTGCGTTTGAATATCTACATTTATTCTCATTCTTCTGTTTAATGGAATGCACAAACACAGCAGCGTGCCATCAAAGATGGCGTCTCCGAGGAGGTCATGTGACATTCATTGGTCTGTGGGAACTATGTATACCACAGGCTCAGAGTCACGTCACAAACACCAACTGACGTCACACACACCAACTGACGTCACACACACCAACTGACGTCACACACACCAACTGACGTCACACACACCAACTGACATCACACACACCAACTGACGTCACACACACCAACTGACATCACACACACCAACTGACATCACACACACCAACTGACGTCACACACACCAACTGACATCACACACACCAACTGACGTCACACACACCAACTGACATCACACACACCAACTGACGTCACACACACCAACTGACATCACACACACCAACTGACGTCACACACACCAACTGACATCACACACACCAACTGACGTCACACACACCAACTGACATCACACACACCAACTGACATCACACACACCAACTGACGTCACACACACCAACTGACATCACACACACCAACTGACGTCACACACACCAACTGACATCACACACACCAACTGACATCACACACACACCAACTGACGTCACACACACCAACTGACATCACACACACCAACTGACATCACACACACCAACTGACATCACACACACCAACTGACGTCACACACACCAACTGACATCACACACACCAACTGACGTCACACACACCAACTGACATCACACACACCAACTGACATCACACACAACAACTGACATCACACACACCAACTGACATCACACACACCAACTGACATCACACACACCAACTGACATCACACACACCAACTGACGTCACACACACACCAACTGACGTCACACACACACCAACTGACGTGACACACACCAACTGACGTCACACACACCAACTGACGTCACACACACCACTGACATCACACACACCAACTGACATCACACACACCAACTGACGTCACACACACACCAACTGACGTCACACACACCAACTGACATCACACACACCAACTGACATCACACACACCAACTGACATCACACACACCAACTGACGTCACACACACACCAACTGACGTCACACAAACCAACTGACATCACACACACCAACTGACGTCACACACACCAACTGACGTCACACACACCACTGACATCACACACACCAACTGACATCACACACACCAACTGACGTCACACACACCAACTGACATCACACACACCAACTGACATCACACACACCAACTGACATCACACACACCAACTGACATCACACACACCAACTGACGTCACACACACCAACTGACGTCACACACACCAACTGACGTCACACACACCAACTGACATTCACACACACCAACTGACGTCACACACACCAACTGACATCACACACACCAACTGACGTCACACACACCAACTGACATCACACACACCAACTGACATCACACACACCAACTGACATCACACACACCAACTGACATCACACACACCAACTGACATCACACACACCAACTGACATCACACACACCAACTGACATCACACACACCAACTGACATCACACACACCAACTGACATCACACACACCAACTGACATCACACACACCAACTGACGTCACACACACCAACTGACGTCACACACACACCAACTGACGTCACACACACCAACTGATATCACACACACCAACTGACATCACACACACCAACTGACGTCACACACACCAACTGACATCACACACACCAACTGACGTCACACACACCAACTGACATCACACACACCAACTGACATCACACACACCAACTGACGTCACACACACCAACTGACATCACACACACCAACTGACGTCACACACACCAACTGACATCACACACACCAACTGACGTCACACACACCAACTGACATCACACACACCAACTGACGTCACACACACCAACTGACATCACACACACCAACTGACGTCACACACACCAACTGACATCACACACACCAACTGACTCACACACAACTGACATCCAACTGACGTCACACACACCAACTGACATCACACACACCAACTGACGTCACACACACCAACTGACATCACACACACCAACTGACATCACACACACCAACTGACGTCACACACACCAACTGACATCACACACACCAACTGACATCACACACACCAACTGACATCACACACACCAACTGACGTCACACACACCAACTGACATCACACACACCAACTGACGTCACACACACCAACTGACATCACACACACCAACTGACATCACACACAACAACTGACATCACACACACCAACTGACATCACACACACCAACTGACATCACACACACCAACTGACATCACACACACCAACTGACGTCACACACACACCAACTGACGTCACACACACACCAACTGACGTGACACACACCAACTGACGTCACACACACCAACTGACGTCACACACACCACTGACATCACACACACCAACTGACATCACACACACCAACTGACGCACACACACACCAACTGACGTCACACACACCAACTGACATCAACTGACATCACACACACCAACTGACATCACACACACCAACTGACATCACACACACCAACTGACGTCACACACACACCAACTGACGTCACACACAAACCAACTGACATCACACACACCAACTGACGTCACACACACCAACTGACGTCACACACACCACTGACATCACACACACCAACTGACATCACACACACCAACTGACGTCACACACACCAACTGACATCACACACACCAACTGACATCACACACACCAACTGACATCACACACACCAACTGACATCACACACACCAACTGACGTCACACACACCAACTGACGTCACACACACCAACTGACGTCACACACACCAACTGACATCACACACACCAACTGACGTCACACACACCAACTGACATCACACACACCAACTGACGTCACACCACCAACTGACATCACACACACCAACTGACATCACACACACCAACTGACATCACACACACCAACTGACATCACACACACCAACTGACATCACACACACCAACTGACATCACACACACCAACTGACATCACACACACCAACTGACGTCACACACACCAACTGACGTCACACACACACCAACTGACGTCACACACACCAACTGATATCACACACACCAACTGACATCACACACACCAACTGACATCACACACACCAACTGACGTCACACACACACCAACTGACGTCACACACACCAACTGACATCACACACACCAACTGACATCACACACACCAACTGACGTCACACACACCACTGACATCACACACACCAACTGACGTCACACACACCAACTGACGTCACACACACACCAACTGACATCACACACACCACTGACATCACACACACCAACTGACGTCACACACACACCAACTGACGTCACACACACCAACTGACATCACACACACCAACTGACGTCACACACACCAACTGACGTCACACACACACCAACTGACGTCACACACACCAACTGACGTCACACACACCAACTGACGTCACACACACACCAACTGACGTCACACACACACCAACTGACGTCACACACACCAACTGACATCACACACACCAACTGACGTCACACACACCAACTGACGTCACACACACACCAACTGACGTCACACACACCAACTGACGTCACACACACCAACTGACGTCCACACACACACCAACTGACGTCACACACACACCAACTGACGTCACACACACACCAACTGACGTCACACACACCAACTGACATCACACACACCAACTGACGTCACACACACACCAACTGACATCACACACACCACTGACATCACACACACCAACTGACATCACACACACCAACTGACGTCACACACACACCAACTGACGTCACACACACCAACTGACATCACACACACCACTGACATCACACACACCAACTGACATCACACACACCACTGACATCACACATACACATACACAACGCTAACAATGCTAAACTGTTAGTGAGAGACCAGAGAGGGACCAGAGAGACCAGAGAGAGACCAGTGAGCGTTTAGAGAGAGACCAGTGAGCGTTTAGAGAGAGACCAGTGAGCGTTTAGAGAGAGACCAGTGAGCGTTTAGAGAGGGACCAGTGAGCGTTTAGAGAGGGACCAGTGAGCGTTTAGAGAGGGACCAGAGAGAGAGAGACCAGAGAGGGACCAGAGAGGGACCAGAGAGGGACCAGAGAGAGACCAGAGAGAGACCAGAGAGAGACCAGAGAGGGACCAGAGAGAGACCAGAGAGAGACCAGAGAGAGACCAGAGAGAGACCAGAGAGGGACCAGAGAGGGACCAGAGAGGGACCAGAGAGAGACCAGAGAGGGACCAGAGAGAGACCAGAGAGGGACCAGAGAGATGAACAATGGTAACCCGTTCAATGAAGCAGAAAAGCAGAAGTGCTCATGGTGAAGTTCTGCTCCTCTTGACTTCCATGTAAGAGTAATCTCCTCTAGCTCAATAATGTGTGACATCACCATTTCAGACTTAAATCTGAGGTTTCTCTGTTTATCTGTGATGTCGTCTTTGTACATCCAGATATGACCATATAAGGACTGACCAATCAGAGGCCTGCATTGAGGCTCCAGCTTCAAAGGTTTATATTACCTCATCGTTCTCTTCTTCTTCTTCTTCTTCTCCTCAGGCCACGCTGACGCTGCAGGTGTCCTACCTCCCCCCTCATGGATTCTCCCCCATGTACCACCCCCCTCCTCCCCCCGAGCCCATCCCTCACCCCACCCCCAATGTAGAGATGGACACCGTCACCAGTAAGATTCCGTTATGTTTCCAAAGGACTTTCATAAGATGAGGCTGTAGACCCAGGACTGAGGCTGTAGACCCAGGACTGAGGCTGTAGACCCAGGACTGAGACTGTAGACCCAGAACTGAGGCTGTATATCTAGAACTGAGACTGTAGACCCAGGACTGAGGCTGTAGATCCAGGACTGAGGCTGTAGATCCAGGACTGAGGCTGTAGATCCAGGACTGAGGTCTGTAGATCCAGGACTGAGGCTGTAGATCCAGGACTGAGGCTGTAGACCCAGGACTGAGGTCTGTAGATCCAGGACTGAGGCTGTAGACCCAGGACTGAGGTCTGTAGATCCAGGACTGAGGCTGTAGATCCAGGACTGAGGCTGTAGACCCAGGACTGAGGTCTGTAGATCCAGGACTGAGGCTGTAGACCCAGGACTGAGGCTGTAGATCCAGGACTGAGGTTGTAGACCCAGGACTGAGGCTGTAGATCCAGGACTGAGGCTGTAGACCCAGGACTGAGGCTGTAGACCCAGGACTGAGGCTGTAGATCCAGGACTGAGGCTGTAGACCCAGGACTGAGGCTGTAGATCCAGGACTGAGGCTGTAGACCCAGGACTGAGGCTGTAGATCCAGGACTGAGGTTGTAGACCCAGGACTGAGGCTGTAGATCCAGGACTGAGGCTGTAGACCCAGGACTGAGGCTGTAGACCCAGGACTGAGGCTGTAGATCCAGGACTGAGGCTGTAGACCCAGGACTGAGGCTGTAGATCCAGGACTGAGGTTGTAGACCCAGGACTGAGGCTGTAGACCCAGGACTGAGGCTGTAGATCCAGGACTGAGGCTGTAGACCCAGGACTGAGGTTGTAGACCGAGGACTGAGGCTGTAGATCCAGGACTGAGGCTGTAGACCCAGGACTGAGGCTGTAGACCCAGGACTGAGGCTGTAGACCCAGGACTGAGGCTGTAGACCCAGGACTGAGGCTGTAGACCCAGGACTGAGGCTGTAGACCCAGGACTGAGGCTGTAGACCCAGGACTGTGTTGTCTGCAGTGATCTCTCTGGACACTCTGGGGGAGGAGGACACAGAGAGCCTGCTGATGGTTGAAGTTCCTGATGATCCTGTGGACGATGGTCGCTCGATGGTCCTCGTGGGACCTCAGGGACAGACGGAGCAGGACTCTCCCCCCGCACTCACCCCCAAACGCTCTCCCCCGTCCTACAGAGGCCAGGATAGGCTGAGGAGGAGGAAGAGGGGGGGAGGCGGAGGGCAGCCCAAGCCTCTACCCAACAAGCCCCAGGACCTACAGGTACTGTGGACCTACAGGTACTGTGGACCTACAAGTACTGTGGACCTACAGGTACTGTGGACCTACAGGTACTGTGGACCTACAGGTACTGTGGACCTACAGATACTGTGGACCTACAGGTACTGTGGACCTACAGATACTGTGGACCTACAAGTACTGTGGACCTACAGGTACTGTGGACCTACAGATACTGTGGACCTACAAGTACTGTGGACCTACAGGTACTGTGGACCTACAGATACTGTGGACCTACAGGTACTGTGGACCTACAGGTACTGTGGTCCTACAGGTACTGTGGTCCTACAGGTACTGTGGACCTACAGGTACTGTGGACCTACAGGTACTGTGGACCTACAAGTACTGTGGACCTACAGGTACTGTGGACCTACAGGTACTGTGGTCCTACAGGTACTGTGGTCCTACAGGTACTGTGGACCTACAGATACTGTGGACCTACAAGTACTGTGGACCTACAGGTACTGTGGACCTACAGGTACTGTGGACCTACAGATACTGTGGACCTACAGATACTGTGGACCTACAGGTACTGTGGACCTACAGGTACTGTGGACCTACAGGTACTGTGGACCTACAGATACTGTGGACCTACAGGTACTGTGGACCTACAGGTACTGTGGACCTACAGATACTGTGGACCTACAGATACTGTGGACCTACAGGTACTGTGGACCTACAGATACTGTGGACCTACAGGTACTGTGGACCTACAGGTACTGTGGACCTACAGGTACTGTGGACCTACAGGTACTGTGGACCTACAGGTACTGTGGACCTACAAGTACTGTGGTCCTACAGGTACTGTGATCCTACAGATACTGTGGACCTACAGGTACTGTGGACCTACAGGTACTGTGGACCTACAAGTACTGTGGACCTACAGGTACTGTGATCCTACAGATACTGTGATCCTACAGATACTGTGGACCTACAGGTACTGTGGACCTACATGTACCGTGGACCTACAAGTACTGTGGACCTACAGGTACTGTGGACCTACAAGTACTGTGGACCTACAGGTACTGTGATCCTACAGATACTGTGATCCTACAGATACTGTGGACCTACAGGTACTGTGGACCTACAGATACTGTGGACCTACAGGTACTGTGGACCTACAGGTACTGTGGACCTACAAGTACTGTGGTCCTGGTCCTGGTTCTGAGTCTGTTTTTTTTTCAGGTCCGGGTTCGTATCATCGAGGGGAGACAGCTTCCTGGCATCAACATCAAACCCGTTGTCAAGGTAACGATCGCCGGGCAAACCAAGAGGACGCGCATCCGCAAAGGAAACAACCCGGAGTTTGACGAGGTGAAAGTCATCAACACAAACAGTAGACATGGCTACCACGCTAGCTCAATGCTAACACGCTAGCTCAATGCTTATCCTCTGGTTCAATACTAACCCACTAGCTCAATGCTAATCCACTAGCTTAATGCTAACCCGGTAGCTCAATGCTAACCCGCTAGGTCAATGCTAACTCGCTAGCTCAATGCTAACTTGCTAGCTCAATGCTAATCCGCTAGCTCACTGTAGCCCAGTAGGCAAGGGCTCACGGTGAAGTTAGGCTCCTCTCTCTGGTTCCTATTGACTTCATGTCAAAGTAAACTCCTGTAGCTCAGTAACGTCGTGTGACATCACCTTTTTGGGCTTAAATCTGTGGTTTCTCTGTGTCCTGTGAAAACAGTCTAATCTGGTCTATGTGACAAACCGTTTCAGGGACCTCTGCTAGCTTATAGCCGTTAGCATTGAGACCAAACAGATACCCTTTTGGAACACAGCCACAGGGCAGCAGCTAACCACTCTGCCACTGACAGACCCGTGTGGACCAGGCCGACACCACAGTCCGATCCAAGGGACTTTTAGGAGAATAGTTTTAATACGGTTTGGTTCCACAGACTTTCTTCCTGAACTTCTTCGAGACGCCCTCAGACCTGTTTGACGAGCCCATCTTCATCACTGTGAGTGTCATCATCATCATCATCATCATCATCATCACGGTTCTCTGACTCTGTATCTTTCAGGTTTGTGATTCTCGCTCTTTAAGAACAGATGCAGTGATCGGAGAGTTCAAGGTAAATTCAGAAGGTTTCCAATTCATTCAATTATGTTTCTTTGTCTTTACAAAAATAACTAAATATATTTTGCTTTTCAAAGTTCAGTCAATATTATTTCACCTTTCAGTTTGGAGGCAATTTTTTAAATGTAGCTGGTTTCTCTCTGGTCTCTCTCTGGTCTCTCTCTGGTCTCTCTCTGGTCTCTCTCTGGTCTCTCTCTGGTCTCTCTCTGGTCTCTCTCTGGTCTCTCTCTGGTCTCTCTGGCCTCTCTCTGGTCTCTGTCTGGTCTCTCAGGTCTCTCCCTGGTCTCTCTCTGGTCTCTCTGGTCTCTCTCTGGTCTCTCTGGCCTCTCTCTGGTCTCTGTCTGGTCTCTCTCTGGTCTCTCTGGTCTCTGTCTGGTCTCTCTCCGGTCTCTCTCTGGTCTCTCTCTGGTCTCTCTCTGGTCTCTTTGTGGTCTCTCCCTGGTCTCTCTCTGGTCTCTCTGGTCTCTCTCTGGTCTCTCTGGTCTCTCCCTGGTCTCTCCCTGGTCTCTCTCTGGTCTCTCTGGCCTCTCTCTGGTCTCTCTCTGGTCTCTCTGGTCTCTCCCTGGTCTCTCTCTGGTCTCTCTGGCCTCTCTCTGGTCTCTGTCTGGTCTCTCTGGTCTCTCTCTGGTCTCTCTCTGGTCTCTCTCTGGTCTCTCTTTGGTCTCTCTCTGGTCTCTCTCTGGTCTCTCTCTGGTCTCATGGTAATTTTATAGTGTTTGTATTTACAGATGGACGTTGGAACAGTTTATAATGAACACAGTGAGTCCAGTTTATTAAAGACAGATTGATTTATTTATTACTCTGTGTGAAGGACTTTGTGTCTCTGTCTCTGTCTCTGCCTCTGTCTCTGCCTCTGTCTCTGTCTCTGCCTCTGCCTCTGCCTCTGCCTCTGCCTCTGTCTCTGTCTCTGTCTCTGCCTCTGCCTCTGCCTCTGCCTCTGCCTCTGCCTCTGCCTCTGCCTCTGCCTCTGTCTCTGTCTCTGCCTCTGCCTCTGCCTCTGCCTCTGCCTCTGCCTCTGTCTCTGTCTCTGCCTCTGCCTCTGCCTCTGCCTCTGTCTCTGTCTCTGCCTCTGCCTCTGCCTCTGCCTCTGCCTCTGTCTCTGCCTCTGCCTCTGTCTCTGTCTCTGTCTCTGTCTCTCTCTCTGTCTCTGCCTCTGTCTCTGTCTCTGCCTCTGTCTCTGCCTCTGCCTCTGCCTCTGCCTCTGTCTCTGTCTCTGCCTCTGCCTCTGCCTCTGCCTCTGTCTCTGTCTCTGTCTCTGCCTCTGCCTCTGCCTCTGCCTCTGCCTCTGCCTCTGCCTCTGTCTCTGCCTCTGCCTCTGCCTCTGCCTCTGCCTCTGCCTCTGCCTCTGTCTCTGCCTCTGTCTCTGTCTCTGCCTCTGCCTCTGCCTCTGCCTCCTGCCTCTGCCTCTGCCTCTGTCTCTGCCTCTGCCTCTGCCTCTGTCTCTGCCTCTTGCCTCTGCCTCTGCCTCTGTCTCTGCCTCTGCCTCTGCCTCTGCCTCTGCCTCTGCCTCTGCCTCTGCCTCTGTCTCTGCCTCTGCCTCTGCCTCTGCCTCTGCCTCTGTCTCTGCCTCTGCCTCTGTCTCTGCCTCTGCCTCTGTCTCTGCCTCTGCCTCTGCCTCTGCCTCTGTCTCTGCCTCTGCCTCTGCCTCTGTCTCTGCCTCTTGCCTCTGCCTCTATCTCTGTCTCTGTCTCTGTCTCTGCCTCTGTCTCTGTCTCTGCCTCTGCCTCTGCCTCTGCCTCTGCCTCTGTCTCTGTCTCTGCCTCTGCCTCTGCCTCTGTCTCTGTCTCTGCCTCTGCCTCTGCCTCTGTCTCTGTCTCTGCCTCTGCCTCTGTCTCTGTCTCTGCCTCTGCCTCTGCCTCTGTCTCTGTCTCTGTCTCTGCCTCTGCCTCTGCCTCTGCCTCTGTCTCTGTCTCTACCTCTGTCTCTGTCTCTGTGTCTGTCTCTGTGTGTGTCTCTGTCTCTGCCTCTGCCTCTGCCTCTGTCTCTGTCTCTGCCTCTGTCTCTGTCTCTGCCTCTGTGTGTGTCTCTGTGTCTGTCTCTGTGTGTGTCTCTGTGTCTGTCTCTGTCTCTGCCTCTGCCTCTGCCTCTGCCTCTGCCTCTGCCTCTGCCTCTGTCTCTGTCTCTGTCTCTGCCTCTGCCTCTGCCTCTGCCTCTGCCTCTGCCTCTGTCTCTGCCTCTGCCTCTGCCTCTGCCTCTGCCTCTGCCTCTGTCTCTGCCTCTGTCTCTGTCTCTGCCTCTGCCTCTGCCTCTGCCTCTGCCTCTGCCTCTGCCTCTGTCTCTGTCTCTGTCTCTGCCTCTGTCCTCTGCCTCTGCCTCTGCCTCTGTCCCTGTCCTCTGCCTCTGTCCTCTGCCTCTGTCCTCTGTCCTCTGCCTCTGTCTCTGCCTCTGTCTCTGTCTCTGCCTCTGTCCTCTGCCTCTGCCTCTGTCCCTGTCCTCTGCCTCTGTCCTCTGCCTCTGCCTCTGCCTCTGCCTCTGTCTCTGTCTCTGCCTCTGTCTCTGCCTCTGCCTCTGCCTCTGCCTCTGTCTCTGCCTCTGCCTCTGCCTCTGCCTCTGCCTCTGCCTCTGCCTCTGTCTCTGTCTCTGCCTCTGCCTCTGCCTCTGCCTCTGTCTCTGTCTCTGCCTCTGTGTGTGTCTCTGTGTCTGTCTCTGTGTGTGTCTCTGTGTCTGTCTCTGTGTGTGTCTCTGTGATCTAAAGCCCTCTGTGTGTGTCTCTGTGTGTGTCTCTGTGATCTAAAGCCCTCTGTGTGTGTCTCTGTGTGTGTCTCTGTGATCTAAAGTCCTCTGTGTGTGTCTCTGTGTGTGTCTCTGTGTGTGTCTCTGTGATCTACAGCCCTCTGTGTGTGTCTCTGTGATCTAAAGCCCTCTGTGTGTGTCTCTGTGATCTAAAGCCCTCTGTGTGTGTCTCTGTGTGTGTCTCTGTGATGTGAAGGACACTGCTTCTTGAGGAAGTGGCTGCTGCTTTGTGACCCGGAGGATCTATCTGCTGGGGTCAAAGGTTATCTCAAAGTCAGTCTGTTGGTGCTGGCAGCAGGAGACGAGCCCCCGGTGAGACACACACACACGCACACACACACACACACACACATACACGTTTTTGTTACCTGGTGGGTCCCTTTGACAGGGCCGTTCAGAATGGGACCCATAGACATAATCTTTTTTTACTGGGACTACTTTAAGTAATACAAAACAGTCAATAGAAACCAAACAACTATTTTAAAGGAATTTTATTTTAGATTTTTTTTTCGAATTGCAGTGATTCTATTTTTGACATAGAATTTAATGCCACTCCATGTCCGATGTCTAAGGTCATCTGGTGAGGCATTAATGCAGGCCAGGCAGTGAGACTTCCCAGGGACCTTTCCAGTCTGTATGAAAGGTGTCATGGTCTTCTCCACAGCCTTCACCTCAGATGCAGACCATGGCTTTCTTACACGTTCTAGGGAGAGAAATAAAAATATATTAGCAATATACACTCCCAGGGTTAGGACCAAGCAGCCTGGCTGTAATCCCCCACCTGGTACACTTACCAGAAGGGGCACTGCCACTACCATGGGGTGCATCTGGATGAATGGTTGAAGGTTCTCCGCTTGAAGTTTCTTTTAGCCCGTCCGTTTGTGAGAGGATCTCTACTGCTCTCCCTGTCGCACAGAAAATAAAAATACAAGTGGCCTTTAGGGGAAAAAAATCATACATATTTTAATAATATCAAGAATTACCTTCAGGCTCAATTTGTATCTGGTCGAGGCTCTTTCCTTCGAATTCCGTCACTCTTCCCTGCTCCATGGCCATCAACACTTTGCTGATTTTGGCCAGCTCCAGTGTCCCCTCTGGTAGTCTGTAATATTGCCTGTGGATGCGAATGTCATGGCCGAGGAAGTTGGCAAGTATGTCCATCTCATTCTCTTTCATATTGAGAACTGTAGACATAGTAGCTATGTGCTTTCTAAGTTTGGTTGAGGATAGCATCTCTGGATGCACCGCACCACATTCTTTGGCTACCTGGCGTAGGGAGTCTGATCCCCTGATGTGGGTGTCTGCGCCCGGGCGGGAAAAGAAGTATGGGTTATGGTCAGAGATGGAACAGGCCCTTCTGTTCTCCACCAGCACCTCCATCGAAGCAATCATTTCAGGAGTCAAAAGAACCGGCACTTTCCGACTTCTTTTCCCTTTAATTTCAATGCGTTGAAAATGCTGACACAGCTTTTTCTCAAGTTGGGACAGTCCCAGAGCAATGTCAGAATGGATCCCAGTCTTACTTCTTAAGGTAAAGGCTGTCAGTGGCATCTTTGAAACCTCACCTTCCCTTCTTCGATTGAAAATGATGACCTCACAAAGAGTCAAAACTGCCAGTTTAGACCAATGCTTAGACGTTGGCTCACTTATTAGGGTTTGCACATATTCAGGTCGACATACCTCAATATGTGCATGCATGGCTCTAACGTCCTCAGTCAGAGGGAGCAGGTCCGGAGTGTTCCACTTGGCTTGCCGGAGGGTCTGTAGGGCAGCAGAAGAAACACAGACGTCCCACCTCTTCTCAAAAAGCAGCCGGCTTCGTTGGAGGTTTTTAATAAATAGTTCATCAACACAATGCTCCATTTTTGAGTCACATTCAAGAATATCTGCTTTCTGAGGCTATGGCCGAGTTTGAGGGCCAAGGATGGAGTCTTGTATTGATTTGTTTCCTCATCATATCCAGCCACAGACCTGACTGCATCAATCACATGGTTAAAGTTGGAAGGAATAAAGAAATCCTTCATTGTTTTCAGTTTCCCTGCAGTTTTTGCTTCGTTAATTAACCTACCAACTTCTCTCATTTTCTGCCTAATGTAATCATGCTTAGTCTTATCATGCCCGTGTTTTAAGTACAGGTGCTCTCCGAGTCTCAGAATCCCCTTTTCTGCTTTGACAACACCCGTGACCTCATCCTGATGCATTGCCGAAATTAAAGACCACAGCTTTTTGCTGATGCCCTCCGGTACAGGCTGGGCTAGGGAGCAGAGGGACTGGACCCTACTTCTACCTGGTTTAGCCTGGTTTAGCCTGGTTTAGCCTGGGCATCTTTCTGTGAAAGCCGGCACCTGGCCACATGCCTCCACAGCGACTTTCGCTTAAGCAATGCCCCACAGTCTATACAGTGCAAAAACTCACTGGATTTAACTGGGGAATTTGGCTGTTTAGCTGGGACTAAAGTTCCAATGCCGGCCTTTAAAACCTCAAAATTGTGCTCACGGTTTCCACTATTCCTGATCAAATCAAACTGAAGTTTACGTGCTTTAGATTTCACAGGTAGAGCCAATGCTCTGGCTACGTCACTTTCATTTCCATGTTTTCTAGTCAAATGACGGGACATTTTGTGGCAGGACATTGAACAGTAGAGGCAGAAGTGTCTCTTGCTGTAAACTCTCCCCCCATTTTTCTTCTTTTGCAGCTGCATGATAACAATCTTATTTGCCTTTGGTTCGTCACTTTCCGAGTCTTGAAGAAAAGTGTTTTTGATTTTTCTTTTTCCATACTTTTTTACAGGTTTCTTCTTGACAGTTAAATCGTCAGAATCTGAGTCGACTTCATCAATTAGGGACTCTTGACTAAGCTGCACAAACAACAAATAATTTGCAATCATTCTATATAACAATTTGAAGTCATGACTTGTAGTCAGCACTTACCAGTGGTTTGTAAGCGTGCGCTTCAGTGTGCTGCTCTGTGATTGGCTGCAGCCTAATGAACCACACACTTGCACCTTTTCTAGCCTGACACTTGATTTCCTCTGTTGTGCTGCTCCATGATTGGCTCCAGCCTCTGTTGTGCTGCTCCATGATTGGCTCCAGCCTCTGTTGTGCTGCTCCATGATTGGCTCCAGCCTGCTGGACTGAAATTGCCCCAGTGTGCCCCTCCCTGATATCCCGCAACCCACCACCAGGGTTCCGACACATAACACACTTTTTTCAGGAAAGTAAACCTCCAGTGGGTCCTTTCCATATTTTTACAGAGACTGCATAAGGACCGTTAGAAAAGCATTACCCATTGATTATTAAGCTTGGACCAGTGGGGTCCGGTGTTCGGGCCCCACCACGTAAAACCAGTCCCCATGACGTCAGTGGAATCTCAGGTTATGGAACCCACTAGGAGTTGAAAACAAGTGCACACATACACAGACACACACACACACACATACACAGACACACACAAACACACACACAGACACACACGTACACACACACACACAGACACAGACGCACACAACAGACGCACACACACAGACACACACACATACACACTATCTGGAATGTAGTTGTATAGAAATCTGTGTGTGCGTGTCTGTGTGTGTGCGTGTGTGTGTGTGTGTGTGTGTGGGTTGTGTGTGTGTCTATGTGCGTGTGTGTGTGTGTGTGTGTGTGTGTGTGTGCGTTTCAGGCTGACCAGCGTGAGTGTGTGTCTGAGAGGGAGGACATCGAGGGGAACATTCTGCGTCCTGCTGGTCTGAGTCTGAGAGGAGCCACCTTCACCATCAAAGTGCACCGAGCTGAGGACCTGCCCCAGAGTGAGGACCAGGACAAGGACCAGGACCAGAGAGAGACCAGAGAGAGAGACCAAGAGAGACCAGAGAGAGACTGAGAGAGACCAGAGAGAGACTGAGAGAGAGACCAGAGAGAGAGACCAAGAGAGACTTAGAGAGACCAGAGAGACACCAGAGCACTGTCTGAAGTCAGACTTGTCCTGTAGACCTGAATAGAGTTGGTTTTTCTTTGTCTTCAATATTCTCCTGCTTTGTAAACGTACTCATAGATACTGTAGATGTATGTCGTCAGTCAGACAGTCAGTCAGTCAGACAGACAGACAGACGGACAGACAGACAGTCAGACAGACAGACGGACAGACAGACAGTCAGACAGACGGACAGTCGGACAGACAGTCAGTCATTCAGACAGTCAGACGGACAGTCAGACAGACAGTCAGACAGACGGATAGTCAGACAGTCGGACAGACAGTCAGTCGGACAGTCAGTCAGTCAATCAGTCAGTCAGACAGACAGTCAGACAGACGGACAGTCGGACAGACAGTCAGACAGACGGACAGTCGGACAGACAGTCAGTCATTCAGACAGTCAGACGGACAGCCAGACAGTCGGACAGACAGTCAGTCGGACAGTCAGTCAGTCAATCAGACAGTCAGACAGACGGACAGTCGGACAGACAGTCAGTCATTTAGACAGTCAGACGGACAGTCAGACAGACAGACGGACAGTCAGACAATCGGGCAGTCAGACAGTCGGACAGAGAGACCGTCAGACGGACAGTCAGACAGTCGGACAGAGAGACCGTCAGACAGACAGACGGACAGTCAGACAGTCGGACAGACAGTCAGTCGGACAGTCGGACCCTTTCGTCCAGAAGCAGAAACACTTCAATCTAAACCATGAATACATAAACATCAACTAGCTGCAGTGAGTGATGGTAACCAGTGAGTGATGGTAACCAGTGAGTGATGGTAACCAGTGAGTGATGGTAACCAGTGAGTGATTGTAACCAGTGAGTGATAGTAACCAGTGAGTGATGGTAACCAGTGAGTGATGGTAACCAGTGAGTGATGGTAACCAGTGAGTGATGGTAACCAGTGAGTGATGGTAACCAGTGAGTGATTGTAACCAGTGAGTGATAGTAACCAGTGAATGATGGTAACCAGTGAGTGATAGTAACCAGTGAGTGATGGTAACCAGTGAGTGACGGAAACCAGTGAGTGATAGTAACCAGTGAGTGATAGTAACCAGTGAGTGATGGTAACCAGTGAGTGATGGTAACCAGTGAGTGATGGTAACCAGTGAGTGATGGTAACCAGTGAGTGATGGTAACCAGTGAGTGATTGTAACCAGTGAGTGATAGTAACCAGTGAATGATGGTAACCAGTGAGTGATAGTAACCAGTGAGTGACGGAAACCAGTGAGTGATAGTAACCAGTGAGTGATAGTAACCAGTGAGTGATGGTAACCAGTGAGTGACGGAAACCAGTGAGTGATAGTAACCAGTGAGTGATAGTAACCAGTGAATGATGGTAACCAGTGAGTGATAGTAACCAGTGAGTGATGGTAACCAGTGAGTGACGGAAACCAGTGAGTGATAGTAACCAGTGAGTGATAGTAACCAGTGAGTGATGGTAACCAGTGAGTGATGGTAACCAGTGAGTGATGGTAACCAGTGAGTGATGGTAACCAGTGAGTGATGGTAACCAGTGAGTGATGGTAACCAGTGAGTGATGGTAACCAGTGAGTGATTGTAACCAGTGAGTGATAGTAACCAGTGAATGATGGTAACCAGTGAGTGATAGTAACCAGTGAGTGACGGAAACCAGTGAGTGATAGTAACCAGTGAGTGATAGTAACCAGTGAGTGATGGTAACCAGTGAGTGACGGAAACCAGTGAGTGATAGTAACCAGTGAGTGATGGTAACCAGTGAGTGACGGAAACCAGTGAGTGATAGTAACCAGTGAGTGATAGTAACCAGTGAGTGATGGTAACCAGTGAGTGACGGAAACCAGTGAGTGATAGTAACCAGTGAGTGATAGTAACCAGTGAGTGATGGTAACCAGTGAGTGATAGTAACCAGTGAGTGATAGTAACCAGTGAGTGATAGTAACCAGTGAGTGATGGTAACCAGTGAGTGATAGTAACCAGTGAGTGATGGTAACCATGGTAACAGTGAGTGTGCCCTCTAGTGGACGATGCCATCATGGCCGGAATGAGGCAGTTTCTGGGCTTCGATGGAAACAGGAAGAACCTGGTGGATCCGATGGTGGAGATACACTTCGCTGGAAAAACAGTACGACCATCATGCATCTGACCTGTGTCCCATCATGCATCTGTCCTGTCTCCCATCATGCATCTGTCCTGTCTCCCATCATGCATCTGTCCTGTCTCCCATCATGCATCTGACCTGTGTCCCATCATGCATCTGTCCTGTGTCCCATCATGCATCTGTCCTGTCTCCCATCATGCATCTGTCCTGTCTCCCATCATGCAACTGTCCTGTCTCCCATCATGCATCTGTCCTGTCTCCCATCATGCATCTGTCCTGTCTCCCATCATGCATCTGTCCTGTCTCCCATCATGCATCTGTCCTGTGTCCCATCATGCATCTGTCCTGTGTCCCATCATGCATCTGTCCTGTCTCCCATCATGCATCTGTCCTGTGTCCCATCATGCATCTGTCCTGTCTCCCATCATGCATCTGTCCTGTTTCCCATCATGCATCTGTCCTGTTTCCCATCATGCATCTGTCCTGTCTCCCATCATGCATCTGTCCTGTGTCCCATCATGCATCTGTCCTGTCTCCCATCATGCATCTGTCCTGTCTCCCATCATGCATCTGACCTGTCTCCCATCATGCATCTGTCCTGTCTCCCATCATGCATCTGTCCTGTGTCCCATCATGCATCTGTCCTGTGTCCCATCATGCATCTGTCCTGTCTCCCATCATGCATCTGTCCTGTTTCCCATCATGCATCTGTCCTGTCTCCCATCATGCATCTGTCCTGTTTCCCATCATGCATCTGTCCTGTGTCCCATCATGCATCTGTCCTGTCTCCCATCATGCATCTGTCCTGTTTCCCATCATGCATCTGTCCTGTCTCCCATCATGCATCTGTCCTGTCTCCCATCATGCATCTGTCCTGTGTCCCATCATGCATCTGTCCTGTTTCCCATCATGCATCTGTCCTGTGTCCCATCATGCATCTGTCCTGTCTCCCATCATGCATCTGTCCTGTTTCCCATCATGCATCTGTCCTGTCTCCCATCATGCATCTGTCCTGTCTCCCATCATGCATCTGTCCTGTCTCCCATCATGCAACTGTCCTGTCTCCCATCATGCATCTGTCCTGTGTCCCATCATGCATCTGTCCTGTTTCCCATCATGCATCTGTCCTGTCTCCCATCATGCATCTGTCCTGTCTCCCATCATGCATCTGTCCTGTTTCCCATCATGCATCTGTCCTGTCTCCCATCATGCATCTGTCCTGTCTCCCATCATGCATCTGTCCTGTCTCCCATCATGCATCTGTCCTGTCTCCCATCTTGCATCTGTCCTGTCTCCCATCATGCATCTGTCCTGTGTCCCATCATGCATCTGTCCTGTCTCCCATCATGCAACTGTCCTGTCTCCCATCATGCATCTGTCCTGTCTCCCATCATGCATCTGTCCTGTCTCCCATCATGCATCTGTCCTGTCTCCCATCATGCATCTGTCCTGTCTCCCATCATGTATCTGTCCTGTGTCCCATCATGCATCTGTCCTGTCTCCCATCATGCATCTGTCCTTTCTCCCATCATGCATCTGTCCTGTCTCCCATCATGCATCTGTCCTGTCTCCCATCATGCATCTGTCCTGTCTCCCATCATGCATCTGTCCTGTGTCCCATCATGCATCTGTCCTGTGTCCCATCATGCATCTGTCCTGTCTCCCATCATGCATCTGTCCTGTCTCCCATCATGCATCTGTCCTGTGTCCCATCATGCATCTGTCCTGTCTCCCATCATGCATCTGTCCTGTGTCCCATCATGCATCTGTCCTGTGTCCCATCATGCATCTGTCCTGTCTCCCATCATGCATCTGTCCTGTCTCCCATCATGCATCTGTCCTGTCTCCCATCATGCATCTGTCCTTTCTCCCATCATGCATCTGTCCTGTCTCCCATCATGCATCTGACCTGTCTCCCATCATGCAACTGTCCTGTCTCCCATCATGCATCTGTCCTGTCTCCCATCATGCATCTGTCCTGTCTCCCATCATGCAACTGTCCTGTCTCCCATCATGCATCTGTCCTGTTTCCCATCATGCATCTGTCCTGTGTCCCATCATGCATCTGTCCTGTCTCCCATCATGCATCTGTCCTGTCTCCCATCATGCATCTGTCCTGTCTCCCATCATGCATCTGTCCTGTCTCCCATCATGCATCTGTCCTGTCTCCCATCATGCATCTGTCCTGTCTCCCATCATGCATCTGTCCTGTCTCCCATCATGCATCTGTCCTGTCTCCCATCATGCATCTGTCCTGTCTCCCATCATGCATCTGTCCTGTCTCCCATCATGCAACTGTCCTGTTTCCCATCATGCATCTGTCCTTTCTCCCATCATGCAACTGTCCTGTCTCCCATCATGCATCTGTCCTGTGTCCCATCATGCATCTGTCCTGTGTCCCATCATGCATCTGTCCTGTCTCCCATCATGCATCTGTCCTGTCTCCCATCATGCATCTGTCCTGTGTCCCATCATGCATCTGTCCTGTCTCCCATCATGCATCTGTCCTGTGTCCCATCATGCATCTGTCCTGTCTCCCATCATGCATCTGTCCTGTCTCCCATCATGCATCTGTCCTGTCTCCCATCATGCATCTGTCCTGTCTCCCATCATGCATCTGTCCTGTCTCCCATCATGCATCTGTCCTGTCTCCCATCATGCAACTGTCCTTTCTCCCATCATGCATCTGTCCTGTCTCCCATCATGCATCTGTCCTGTCTCCCATCATGCATCTGTCCTGTCTCCCATCATGCATCTGTCCTGTCTCCCATCATGCATCTGTCCTGTTTCCCATCATGCATCTGTCCTGTTTCCCATCATGCATCTGTCCTGTCTCCCATCATGCATCTGTCCTGTGTCCCATCATGCATCTGTCCTGTCTCCCATCATGCATCTGTCCTGTTTCCCATCATGCATCTGTCCTGTTTCCCATCATGCATCTGTCCTGTCTCCCATCATGCATCTGTCCTGTGTCCCATCATGCATCTGTCCTGTCTCCCATCATGCAACTGTCCTGTCTCCCATCATGCATCTGTCCTGTCTCCCATCATGCAACTGTCCTGTCTCCCATCATGCATCTGTCCTGTCTCCCATCATGCATCTGTCCTGTCTCCCATCATGCATCTGTCCTGTCTCCCATCATGCATCTGTCCTGTCTCCCATCATGCATCTGTCCTGTGTCCCATCATGCATCTGTCCTGTCTCCCATCATGCATCTGTCCTGTCTCCCATCATGCATCTGTCCTGTCTCCCATCATGCATCTGTCCTGTCTCCCATCATGCATCTGTCCTGTCTCCCATCATGCATCTGTCCTGTCTCCCATCATGCATCTGTCCTGTCTCCCATCATGCATCTGTCCTGTCTCCCATCATGCATCTGTCCTGTCTCCCATCATGCATCTGTCCTTTCTCCCATCATGCATCTGTCCTGTGTCCCATCATGCATCTGTCCTGTGTCCCATCATGCATCTGTCCTGTCTCCCATCATGCATCTGTCCTGTGTCCCATCATGCATCTGTCCTGTCTCCCATCATGCATCTGTCCTGTCTCCCATCATGCATCTGTCCTGTCTCCCATCATGCATCTGTCCTGTCTCCCATCATGCATCTGTCCTGTCTCCCATCATGCATCTGTCCTGTCTCCCATCATGCATCTGTCCTGTCTCCCATCATGCATCTGTCCTGTCCCATCATGCATCTGTCCTGTGTCCCATCATGCATCTGTCCTGTTCCCATCATGCATCTGTCCTGTCTCCCATCATGCATCTGTCCTGTCTCCCATCATGCATCTGTCCTGTCTCCCATCATGCATCTGTCCTGTCTCCCATCATGCATCTGTCCTGTCTCCCATCATGCATCTGTCCTGTCTCCCATCATGCATCTGTCCTGTCTCCCATCATGCATCTGTCCTGTCTCCCATCATGCATCTGTCCTGTCTCCCATCATGCATCTGTCCTGTCTCCCATCATGCATCTGTCCTTTCTCCCATCATGCATCTGTCCTGTTTCCCATCATGCATCTGTCCTGTCTCCCATCATGCATCTGTCCTGTCTCCCATCATGCATCTGTCCTGTCTCCCATCATGCATCTTCTGTCCCTGCTGTCCTGTCTCCCATCATGCATCTGTCCTGTCTCCCATCATGCATCTGTCCTGTCTCCCATCATGCATCTGTCCTGTCTCCCATCATGCATCTGTCCTGTCTCCCATCATGCAACTGTCCTGTCTCCCATCATGCATCTGTCCTGTCTCCCATCATGCATCTGTCCTGTCTCCCATCATGCATCTGTCCTGTCTCCCATCATGCATCTGTCCTGTCTCCCATCATGCATCTGTCCTGTGTCCCATCATGCATCTGTCCTTTCTCCCATCATGCATCTGTCCTGTTTCCCATCATGCATCTGTCCTGTCTCCCATCATGCATCTGTCCTGTGTCCCATCATGCATCTGTCCTGTCTCCCATCATGCATCTGTCCTGTCTCCCATCATGCATCTGTCCTGTCTCCCATCATGCATCTGTCCTGTCTCCCATCATGCATCTGTCCTGTCTCCCATCATGCATCTGTCCTGTCTCCCATCATGCATCTGTCCTGTGTCCCATCATGCATCTGTCCTGTCTCCCATCATGCATCTGTCCTGTCTCCCATCATGCATCTGTCCTGTTTCCCATCATGCATCTGTCCTGTGTCCCATCATGCATCTGTCCTGTCTCCCATCATGCATCTGTCCTGTTTCCCATCATGCATCTGTCCTGTCTCCCATCATGCATCTGTCCTGTCTCCCATCATGCATCTGTCCTGTCTCCCATCATGCATCTGTCCTGTTTCCCATCATGCATCTGTCCTGTGTCCCATCATGCATCTGTCCTGTCTCCCATCATGCATCTGTCCTGTTTCCCATCATGCATCTGTCCTGTCTCCCATCATGCATCTGTCCTGTCTCCCATCATGCATCTGTCCTGTCTCCCATCATGCATCTGTCCTGTGTCCCATCATGCATCTGTCCTGTCTCCCATCATGCATCTGTCCTGTCTCCCATCATGCATCTGTCCTGTTTCCCATCATGCATCTGTCCTGTGTCCCATCATGCATCTGTCCTGTCTCCCATCATGCATCTGTCCTTTCTCCCATCATGCAACTGTCCTGTCTCCCATCATGCATCTGTCCTGTTTCCCATCATGCATCTGTCCTGTCTCCCATCATGCATCTGTCCTGTCTCCCATCATGCATCTGTCCTGTCTCCCATCATGCATCTGTCCTGTCTCCCATCATGCATCTGTCCTGTCTCCCATCATGCATCTGTCCTGTTT